GAGAGGAGTACGCAGCGATCCGCGACGCTTTAAATATACATAATGTATGCCATTAGGTACACGTGCGAACCAACGGAACGACCTGTATGTGAAACGACATAGTTGAGTGTTCGTTGTGAATTTCGAATACTCCAAAGTTTTGTCACCCTGGCGAAGGTCGCGGAAAACTTTCAAAGAAACACGGTAGAAGTTTTGAACCGAATCTAATAAGCCATTTTCAAAAAGCGTACACAACAATTTTGGTCGCAACGAAAAAGTTATTTCACCGTCACGGGTCTACTGCATATTCCTGTTGGGGTTCTAGCCTTTTATTTTATTTTCTAGTCTATTACGTATTGTATTATTCTGTTTACGAATGTACACTCGATATTTTTCGTTTGAGCTCAGCATGCATAATAATTCATAGTTATCGTTTACGAATGTACCGACGACTAATATTGGATACTAAATCGGGCATCTTCAAATCCAAACACGTCTTGTTGTTAATTACGTATGTTTGCTTGACGGATATTTTGATTTTTATTCCTTGGTTACGAACATTTATGTACGTTAATATAATTATCATCGATGCAATTGTATTCAATTGAGGTTAGAATTTGACCTAAATATAATTTTTTTGTTTTTATTTAAATCAACCATTATTACCGATTCCAGCCTTGAATCTTTTCCTCGGTTCCGTAAAACTATTCTTGATGTACGTACGAATATTATAATGGCGTGGGATTGCGCAGTTTCGTTTATTTATTTATTTTTCTAATGGTATACTGACAGTGGTTATTAATTTTTTTTCACCGTAATAGCAATAATTATATGATATATTATTTTGTAATTGATTTTACCGAATTCTAGTTGTTCTCGACGTAGGCGAAAAGGTTCTCCAGGTTACTGGAACACTGCAACACGAATTCAATAGCATGTTGAAAAATTAAATTAAGGCGATTACAAATGTTTAAAACATCGGAACATCGAATCCGTGGTATTTACAATAATCATGCTTGTGTGTAACGTTACATGATTTTACGACAATCAGGTGACCGCCTTTCGACGTTTGGTTTGACTTTCGCGTTCATGTTAATTTATCGGACGGTAACACAATTTACGAATATGAAACTCGAGAAAACAAATTTTTTGTTTGCATTTGCTTCCGAAAACCTTTTATGCGATCAGTTGTTTGAAAGTTTTTTTTTACCAATTTTAAAAATTAGATTTCCACGCTAACACGCTCCGCGAGTTCAACGTTGTGCGCGAAATACGTTGTTGACAAAACGCGTCGACGAAATACAAACGCGCTGCGTGTACGCATAAAAATGTAAACCCGATTGCCTGAATTCAATTTTAATAACACAAACGTTGGGAATGTTGTCGCACCGCGCATTCACCTCAATATGTGTGTCGTACTGGTATTAAAATATGTTAGTATTAACTATTCGCGCGCGCATCATTATCTGTATGCTATGAACAAAATTCGTCGGTACTTTACGCGAAAGTTCGGTCTCGCGTTACGTGCCACCGAAAAAATATACTGTACAAAATAGATCGGTGGCAAATGTTCACACCGGAATACGTACCTGAGTGGTTTTAATTTACTACGATATTACGATATGCATTTTTACAGGCAGAAATGTACTCATCGAAAAGCTAATAGTACAATGTTTTCTTTCTCGTGCGTATACTGGCCATTATCGCTGACGAGTGTGTCAAGTACATTATATATATATATATATTTACATACCAGTTTTGTTTGTTTAATTTTTTAATTTTTTAGCTGCGTGTCGAAGCGATTGACACGCTGTGAGGTACGGACCGCAAGAGCGCACTGTTAGGTTAATTAATGTTATTTTAATTTATTAATTCTCGTGTCATTGCCTACCCGTGCTGAACGCAAATTATTCCAATCGGTTCTAGATTTATAGTATTTTTTCGATAGTATACATATTACATATCAGAGGTCATCAATCTTAGCAGCATTATCGATATCTTTATTGGTCTTTATTAAGAAAACCGCGATATAAATAATAATTGTGTTTTGCTGAAATGCGTTTTTATACAGAGGAAGTTGTTCGAAAAACGAAACTTCTTGGGGAATATACAGACTTTTTGTTCTAGATATTATGTATCCGATTTGCACAAGTAAAAAAATAACCAAAAAAAACTCTTTTTGTTACTGATCCAAATTTGGTTTTCGTCATCGCAGGATTTACAGTAGCGTCAATACAATGCATTCATTGAAAACCATTAGCCTGCAGACACATATTATCAGAAAGCACATTTCTCAATAGACATGATAACAATTCTTATGATAAATAATATGAAAAATGTATATCATTTTTTTGAGGCTAATCTCGGATTACTTTATTATGCGGAGTTATTATTGAGAGCAAAACATTTATGTCGTTTTTGAAATGGAATAATTTTATCGGTAATAAGTATTATTTTTCAAAAAAAAAAAAAAAAATTCGGTAAACGTATTCCTTTTCTTTATAAAAAAATATAGGGTAAAAATTTATAGATAAATAGACAGAGAGAGAGAGAGAGCGCATATAATAATGGCTGACATTGTATATTCCGCGTGACTCTACACCAGTGGTTCTGAATTTTTTTTTTTCACGGCACACTATTATATATTAAAAGTTTTCGCGGAACACTTATGCACTTGACAAAAACATAAACATTGGCTACGCGCTAAGATATCCAGTTGGGTTAAAACCGTACAGTTTACCTACACATGTATCCACTTATCTGCACAATTAATTGACATTAAGAGTGCGCAATACTTACGCTACTTTTTTAGAATTAACAACTGACCTATCTCTTGAGAAAGAAAAACAACTGGCAAAAATTCAGGATACTACGAACACTACAATTGAAATATAATGAATTATCACTAATTAGATTTTGGATGTATGCAGTCAGAATATCCTGTAATAGTAAAAGAAGCAATCAACATTTTGTTACACTTTTCAACCACTTACTTATGCGAGTTAGGCTTTTTGGCATTAATAAACATAAAAAGAACAAAAAATGGGAGAGGCTTCTTCCCATTGATTAGGAAATGCGTATGTACTTATCTTCAATTCAATCATGTATCGAACTTTTTTATAAGAATTGACAAGCTCAAGTTTTTCACTAATAATTTCAAAAATTTTTCTTTATGATATAATATTCCTTTGCTTAAATAATTAAGTTCTCAAAATATTTTTTTTTGTTTTTATATTTTTTAAAAATAAATATAATGAAATAAAATATATTGAAATATTACTAATCACAAATATCAGATATTTTTCGCGACACACCTAGTTGATCTCGTGGCACAGTAGTGTGCCACGGCACACCGGTTGATAATCACTGCTCTATACGGAATTCGTATATTTGTTCGAGTCGTGGTTCATGATTTATATAGGTATATTTGTAAATTATATTATGTTGTGGTACGTAACCAAAATATTGCATTAATCATAATAATAATATATTATAAATTTTTTAACGACTATTTTAACGTATTTTAGCGTACGATTTAACGTGCTATAATAGTAATAATAGTAATTTATAATAATTACAATAACAATACGGCGATGACGTGTTTAATTTAAAATGTTCTCATGATACCGTTTACGTATACATCATGTTGTAACAGGTAAAAATATATGTAATATGCGCATATATTATAATACATGTATGAGCGGTTTTTGTCTTAATATTAATATAAATTAATATAGTGATACGTGACGTGTCTTATATTTTTACACGCTCGTAGGTACATTAAGAATTTTATTTATATTTAAAATAAACGCATGCGTCGGAATTACCCAGGAAGTGAGCCGTAAATTGAATATAATATATTATACATCAAATCATATCGATAACCTGGGACTTGCGGCGATATTATTATTTATAAACATACGCTACTCGTACCTTATCGGTGGGTGTGGGGAGGGGGAACAATATTTTTCGTACACGATGCAGGATCAAAGACATTCGTGCGCTGGACAGATGGTTTGAATGCAGTGCATGTGATTTTTTTTAATTTTTTGAAACAATTTTTGGTCTTGATTTTCAAGTATTTATTACTCTTTCTTCACTAATTGATATTGCGGTGATATTATAAAAATAATACTTGTACACCAAACTTTATTTTTTGTATATCAACTGAGCGTATTATACGTGGTATTTGCCAGTGGCATAATTTCAAAATGTCTCGTCACCGATTGATTTTAAAACCAATTCAACCCAGCAGGATATTGAACCGGCCGAAATGGCCTACTGTTGTGGATAAATGCCGAGGTCAAGCTAAAGCCCGCGGCCGTCACGGTATAATTCATTACGCCCATGCCAGCTGGTACCCAGTTAATAACTCCGTATTTTCCGGGATTTGCACCTAGGAAGTGCCTGTCATACTATAAGGTGGTGAAATTCGTGTTTCTCAATAGTTTATTTCTGATGGATGTTATAATGAATCACGAAAACGAGACAAAACTAATAGTGATAAAAAAGAAAATACGTGCATAAAAGTGATACTCATTCGATTCGTGGTAGATTAAAATACCGATTAATGAGAATGAGGAGATTTGATGCATAATTAAGTTATTTCGTACAGTGAACAAATAGTCTTTGTGATCACATACGTGAAGAAAACAAATTTGAATGCTTGTATAATCCATAATAATATTAAGACGTATGTACAATTTTACACTTTAAAGTGTCTAAGATTTTTGAATTCAAAACTGCTTTCAGAATTGATAGTCATATTTATCAAGATTAAATTCCTAACCTGGACTCCTGTTCAAACTGTGCTCCATAATCTTATTTGTTTGAGATCGACGTATAACTGATACGGCTTACTATTCAATGCATTTGAAATGTATAAAAGCTATATTATTTTTCTGTTCTCCGCCATAATGTTTTGAGCAATGTAGGTTTTCGTAACTTAAAGATCATCACGAAACAATGCTTTTCTCTCGTAAATCACCGAATTTATATCTATTTCATTTATGTGTTCGTAGTTATATCAACGTCGCCAATCATCCGTCCGATATGGTGGCTTTCAATCGATTTTCCGCTACCACCGCCTTGGCGGTCTTATGCTTTCTGCAGGCGACCCACGGATACGAATCCGGAGCGCCGGAATTGACGTGCCGTACCATGATACCGGGTCACGGTGAGGCGGCACAGACGTCTGTACCGAACTACAGGATCGCTACGTCCGAAAACGTCACATCCTCGAGGACCCGCGTGACGCTGACCGCACCTAAAGTCAACGACTACTTCATCGGATTCTTGATTGAAGCTCGCGTCCCTGGTTCCAATGAAGACGCTGTCGGGTCGTTCGTGCAAGTGCCGCAAGATTCGCTGACCCTTGACTGCAACCAAGTGCCCGTAAGTATTATGTTACAGGTGCTATAGCCGATTCTAAGGTTTCCACTCGACCATGTGCCTAAAAAGGTTCTAAAAATGCACAGGAATCGAGCTCAGGAGGTTTCAAGAACAACAGTCGTATAGAGGGTGATTTATCTTAACGTACGTGTCTTAAAAAGGACATAGAGAGGGTATTAAATTTTATGAACACCGTCTCCCCATATTTATGTTCATGCCCTCAATGATGGTTGGGTGTGGTGGTGGTGGATCATTTCAGATAGAGTAGTAGACGGGGTGGCGGATCTGACGCTAAACGTCTAAATGTGCCGTCGGGTAAGTTAGTGGAAATAGGTTTCCTCGTAGAAGCGCACTAAATGATCCTAGAAGATTATAGAAGGATTAAAAAATATTGACTGAAATCTTAGTTTAAAATAACTACGTCCGAATAGAACTCGAACATAAAAATAATAAAAACGCAATGGTAAAGCAATGGGAACCATGCATATTATAGTTACAAAGTAGGTGTTGTACAACAGTGAATATTATACGTGCTGTATAGTAGGTAGAGTTATGTACCGGACTATCATAATAGTTGGTTCTCACGAGTCACGAGCGTATTGTGTACACCAAGGTTAATCTAGTTGATTCAAAAATGGAAAAAAAAAACTAGGTTGCATCTTGTCGAAATTATAAAAATTCAACAATACAGAATAGAAAAAAAATCTTTTGGACACTTTTTATTGTTACGATTTTGTTCGATTTATATTATTACACACGTAACAATATATTGTGTATAATATTAATAGATAATACTACAATGAGTGTTATTTTTCCAATCAAAAATTAAAATCTTGTACGATATTCTTGTATGATGATCGTTGATTTATAATCTTATTTAATCACAGCAAGAATATTTTTAAAACTTATTGTCGATTTGTGTTTAGAGTTCTGGCGTGACACATAGCAGCAATACGAAAAAGAAGTCTGTGGAATTCGACTGGGAAGCACCGGATAACTTTAACGGACAAGTGCATTTCGTGTGAGTTTTAAATTTGTATTCGCTGGTTTTGGTTTTTATTTACGCAATCAATATGTTTAACTTTATGTGCAGGGCTACTGTCATAAAGGATTATGCGACGTTCTGGGTCGGCATTAATTCGAATCCTATTCAGGTGAAAGGCTCAAAAGATGGATCTTCGGCGATCAGACAAACTGAGACCAGCAGAACGGATAATGTAATGGTTTTATTATTGTTACGTGTTACGTATTTTGTGTCCTTTTGAGCCAACGAAATCAAAAACATTTGGTATTTATGTGCAGGGACTAAAAGAAACCGAGGTGAACATTTACAATGGTTGCGGAAAAAACAAGAACTGTGTTGGCGCGCCGCTCGGTTGTATTCAAACGATGAACTGTCGCGCTATCGTGGCGCTGATGCCTTGGAACGATAAATATAATTTTGAAATGTTAGCCCACGACAGCCAGTACGTGGCGTTCGGACTTTCCGATGATAATAAAATGGTAACAACCTTTAAACGTAAAGCTATAGAGTTTTAAGACATGGTTGAAAAGTATATATTGTGTGTTTTTCCTCGTTTCGTATTTGCGTAATATTTTACAGTAATAACCGTAGACTAGTAGGACGTAAATAGTGTTTGAGACTTAGGAAGGGGGATCTGGCCAATAATTCGTAGTATATTTTACTATGTACAATACGAGTATACTATGTAGTGTAGTTTTTTTTGAAAGGGGTTGATTACAAAAAAATCTAGGCAGGCTAAGAATTCCAACTCTTTTCTTATTTGTGCCTAGGGGTCTTATTGCCACTGAATAAAATAAAAAAATGTTCACTGATCGCCTGTTTATTTAATCGACGTACCGAACACAAAGAGATCGAAAATGAACGCTACAGCGATTTACTTGTATAATCTGGTAAACTAATATATTGTAAAAATTAGTTAACCAAATTATCTATGTATTTATATATGTACAAAATTGTACAAAATTTAAATTGAAACAATTCATTCATTATCAAGTGATTGTAATTTTCGATTCATTCATGCGCATAAAAATATCTGAAGATAAAAAGAGGAGAACAAAATTATAAGAGTCATATCCTACGGATGTCACTATAACGTCTTATATATAAGCGGATTTTCGACGTTATGTCTACAGATTTCTTACCACGTTCTGGCAGTTGAAACTGTATGAATTGGTTATGGTGATTATAAAAGCTTAAGGGGATTGCAAGTCATGATTTTCTTTTTTTTTTTCTATCACACGCGCAATATAGGAATTTAGACGTTTTCTATTTTCAACTGCAATCCCCTTAATCGGTTTTCAGTCAAACAACAATAGTTTGCAATCACATTGAATACATTTCGATACATCATGATAATATGATTATCTAAACTCATTATACCATCCCGTTGGAATTTACACGCATAAGATTATATTCTTTATACTTCCCAAAAACAACAACAAAATATTATTAAATGCACGCGGTACGCGATGTCGAATCATTTCGATTTCTTGTACGATATATTACGGTTATATTATTATTGTATTCTAATATATAAATAAATAAACAAATAGTTTATATATATATATATATAGAAATAAATAAATAAATAAATAAAAAAATGCTTTGCCTGAAGTATTATTATATTTGTAAAATACGATTGGTTTTGAATTAAAAATTCACTATCAAGTATATACGTAGTCAATATAATTGCGTATTTATTGGCGGTGAATTTTGAATTCGAAAAAAAATAATAACACCCCAGACTAAGCATTTATTTATTTCTATATATAATTTATTATTTGTTTATTTACATATATATTAACTTACGAGTATTAACCATTTAATAATTTTTAATTTTTATTACATTTTTTATTACTTTATTATGAATTATATTCTGTTAAAACAGCGTGGGCATTTGATAACATTCGTCCGTGACGGATATCTTCTTAATAAAGTGTTAATAAATATGTCCATGTTTATTTTATTCGAATACATATTTATTAGTGATGATTATTCTGCATATATACTATGATATATACAAACTATGTGTTTCGAATGAGTTTTGTTTATCGGTTATGGACCATTAGAAGCAGCACATTTTCATAATCCATTTCACTGAACGTTTAACACTCGGGGACACACGGTTTTTTTGGCGTTCACATTTATTGAAATAAATATTCACTCATGAGCAGGATAATGAACTATATGATGACTGTACATCACATGAGTGTTTTATTTGGAAAATATTAAAACCGTCTTCTATTCGAAGATTTCCATGATTCAGAGGTATCCGTTATAACAGATGTTTCGCTGTGATAATTCTTTTTTTTCTTTGATTTTTAAAACCGTCGTATAGCTATAAGATAGTATTGCAAAATATAAACATATATATATATATATATATATATATATATATATACATAACATACTCACTCGTGTCACTCGTGTGTAATCAAAAGTCACTTTGGCACTATTGTTTACCTTTTTAAACTCCACGTTGACAATAGAAATGGCAACAATTTATCATCTACGATTTCCCCTCCCTTTTGGTAACGTATAGCTGAGCACGGTTCACAAGCACTTGTCATTCTACAATATAATACTCATAGGTAGGGCGTATCAAGGCCAAAATATTATGCACTAAGTACGGTATATTTGTAATACTCTACCTTATGGTTAAACTTACTTTAATTTTGACGGGCGCAAACGCTCGTTTTGACTGTAGTACACTTGCTCCATTTAAAACTCTCGACGTAATCATAATATTATTTTATGCGCGATGATCAATTATTGGTCTTTGCGGTTACCGCTTCAGTCGTGATGACCGAACACATGTATACAGTCATCGATAAAAGCAACATACTTATTGTGCGCAAGTGTGCATGTGCGTTTGATATCACCAGTGACTTCGAAGTGTTTAAAAAACAATAATGCATATTCACCATTCGACCAATTATTTTTCATTGCAACTATTATTATACCTTTATATCGTAAAAATACGCAATCAATAACAATTAATTAAAATACAGTCAATGGTAATGTCCATTACTCATTACCTTAAATATGTTAAGTTCATAGTAAAATAAACTATTCATAATTTATTTCGTTATAGTTTCATGTCCACGTTCGTCAACATTAAACTTTAGTTTATCACTCAGTACTTAAGCATAGAACCATAATCCATTACCTACCCATAGTGTGCTTAATATTAGTTAACGGAGCTATATAATTATTGTTTATTATTATAGGTATTCATTTATATATGGCATTAATTTATCTTTATACGTAAAACTCTTTATCAAGAGCCGGGCTTCAGTAGGTGAGTCCTCTATCTATAAAATCCGCTAAGACATCTGTGATCTATGATATTAGGTGATCGGTGCCACTGGATGTAACTGTTTGAAAAGTAAAACGATGCGAAATACAGCATATTATAGATGTGCAGTGTTACAACTTATTTTAACTCGTTGGACGTATAAAACTTCTCTCACCTTAAGTGGCACAACCAGGATTTTATTTCTAGTCCGGGAGGAAGGGGTTATACATTTTGGAAGGTGGAGAAGAATAGGGTAAGGTTCACTTACATACTTCGGAAGGATAATCTAGTGGCGTCTCTGCGCACCGCTACGGTATTGTTGTTGCGCACATGCTTGTCTTCATCGTTGTATTTGTACTTATTCTTAACAATGCGACGAATCGCGTGAAGGAGTCGAAACTTATCGGCGGAACGTATGCGTTTAACCATATTCGATTTTGTACGGCGATCGAGTGACTAACAAATTTAACCTCACACGGAACTTTTGTGTTGACACTGACTAGGGCGGCGACGGCGTAGTCGAGTGCGCCCACGAGGTGAACGGTCGCAGCAACAGCGTGAACGCGTACAAGTCGTGGAACGTGCCCAACCGGAAGCAAAACCAACGCGTCGAGGACTTGTCGGGCGTAAGTTTGGAGAGTGCCGCGTACGTCGACAACGCCATTTACTGCAAGGTCGTCGTCGATTCCGTTTTCAAAGTGGAAGACAACGTGTACAACCTGGACGACGATGATTATTTCGTCTTGCTGGCCGCCGGCTCTTCGTTGAAACGTACGTATAAACGTCCCTTTTGCCGTTTTATTGCCCGACCGGAAACGCCTGAGACCGATGGGATTATCCGACGAAAGCTGAGAATGGAATTGTTGGCGACGAACGTTATTATAAAAACGTTGCCCATTGTTCTCGTTTGCCAACACTGTGTCTAGTGTTGGTATTATTTTTCGTGTATTGATGTGCGTCCTAAGTGCAGCAATTAACTTTTAATCGCGCCGGGAACATTAAAAAATCCCGAAATGATTGGGATTTGAATGCGTTTATGTGTTTATGTTGTTTATTATGATTTTTCACAGCGTTCAGTGTCGATTACCACGACGTAGCTTTCATAAGCAGCACTGACAAGAGAAAACTCGGACAGCTCAAAGCGGCCCGCGTGGCCGATCCGTTTTACGACGATTGTGGCCAGACAAAAACATGCTTCGGGTCTCCGGACGGTTGTTTGGAGGCTCAAGACTGCGTGGCTGTGACGGCCGTCAAAGTCGAAGGGACCCGGTACATGTTTGAAATGAAAGCCAGGAACGCAGCCTATGTAGCCGTCGGGATTTCGGAAGATCAAAAAATTGGTAAGCAACTTCCGTCATTGCGATAGCTTTTGTGTATGCAGTGTGACTAACGGTGATTTACTAGAATCATTATGAGATTGGGGCTATTTTAAATCAGTAAATCTCCGTAAAACATCCATACGTATACTATTCTCGTAACGGAGGATAATTATATTATAATACGATATTGTTTTGTTAATTATTGTTTTCCCCCCGCCTTTGACTAGGGTGGTGACAGTGTTGTCGAATGCGTGCACGAAAACGTGGGCACAAACTTGGTCAAAGCTTACACGTCCTGGAACGTACCTAATCAAAAGAGCAACAAACGTCTGTCGGTGAGTAGTTATTTTATTAAATTTTACGGTAAAGATCTTTGAACTGCGGGGTTTGTAACTTTTTGTTAATTTCAACTTTGGTCTAAGTCTAAGACAACCGAAAGGTACCACGTACCGTAAGGAGATCCGGTGTTACGTGTTAACACAAACACGTGGTGTTCTTCAATCATGTTCCAGTCCGGACGAAAATAACAGAAATATTATAAAAATAACTCCCCACAACTTCTTTAAATGTCCTATTCTTCATTTTAAAGGATGGCTTAAATATGAAACTATAAATTTTTTGTAGGATTCGCTTATCACTTCCTTTGATTTTTGCGTTTTTTTTATTATCAATTGTTTAAAGTCAGAAAACGGCAAAAACATGTTTCGTTCATGTTCAATTCAATTTATTTGTTTCCACGGTTAAAACATCAGTAAGGGGTAAGTGTGAGAAATAGGACGGGAGATCTAAGTATGTCAGAGTTTAGTTTTTCATTTTTTTATTTTATTTTTTTTCGATATTGAGGACCACTTTTTGTGTTTTTGTTATTAACTGTTTAAAATTTTTTTGCTGTAGAATCAAAACGGAATTATACTGTTGAACTCATCATTCATTGACGGTACAATTTATTGTAATGTGGTCCGGGACGCGGTGGCCAGAGTGGAAGGAACAAACTTCGATTTGATTAGGAACAAATACTACTTGCTGATCGCCGCCGGCACGTCGTTGAAAGGTTAGGCAAATGTTTAACTTTAACGTTTTCGAACGGATTTATTATTATTATTATTATTTATAATGGACCATTGTATGTGTGTGTGTGTGTGTTTCACTCGCCAGAACGTAGTGTAGGCTACCACGATTTGGCCTTCACCTCGACCGCGGAGGCGAGCTCGCTTTCAGAAATCAAATCGCTGAGGACATCGTCGAAATTGCTGTTGAGGTTACACGGTTCGTTCATGATCGTCGCATGGATCGGAGCGGCCAGTATCGGCATAGTCATTGCGAGGTACTACAGGCAGACGTGGGTCGGAGCTTCGTGTTGTTCCAAGGACTTGTGGTTCGGGGTAAGCCGTGAAACATCATCACTCTGTTATTGTAGCATAATACGAGACTTGCGGACCGGGGGGAGTGATCATTTTTTCAAACCATAAGTGATCAAATAATATTTAACGATTTTTCTCGATGTCGAGGATTTGATATTCAAATTATTAGAAAAATAAGAATAATTCCTCAAAGATAATTTTCGTTGTCTTATACACATTTTACGAAATACTAGTAAAATGTACGAAACAATCGTCTTTGAATGTGGTAGTAAAAAAATTGTAAATCGTATGATATGAATATTTTGTGCTCGGTAAATAATTTCACTAGGTATAATTGAATATTACATTTAAGCTTGTTTTCTACTGTTCATGCTATCATAACGATTATTTTTAACGCTATCTATAATGCGTGTATTTACCCAATTCCAATTTTTTTTAAATGTATTCCTTTTCGAACAATATTTGGAATTCCTAAGGGCATCCGAGTGTTTTCCACCAGTTCTAGTATAAAGACGGTACAAAACAATAACCGATCGATCGGAACGTCGTAGTTGCACTCACGTCCGTCAAGATATTGTTAGGTTTAAACATATTTTGATGACGTTGACTGCGTAATGGTAACCGTCGAATAGTGTAATAATATTTGAGCGAGCGGAAAACTTTCACGCCGCGGCGTCAGCCGAAGCCCAAATCTGGTTTCGCATTTTCCGTCCGTTACATTGTATACTTAACAGATTGCTTGCTAACACAATTGTTTACCTGCTAACATCGTGTTTTTTGTTATTCTCCTTCCACGCAACAGTGGCATCGTCTGCTGATGATGTTCACGTGGGTTCTGTCGCTGGCCGGATCCGCGTGTATCTTCGTGGAACTCGGCGAATGGGTGACCGGTCCAAGTCAAACGCACGCGCTGCTGGGCGTCGTCACCACCGTTCTGGCGTTCTTCCAGCCGATATTCGCCGCGTTCCGGCCTCACCCGGACTCGTCGAAAAGACCGATTTTCAACTGGATCCATTGGCTCGTCGGAAACGCCGCGCACATCTTCTCCAGTGAGTGGTTTTTCATCCTTATTTTTTTTTCTCTCTCTCATTCTATTCCCTTTTACGCCTCCTGAGGTTGGTATATCGTGTGGTAAGGGTGTACAGTTGAATTAAATAACGTTGAGACGGTTACGTTATGGAACTCGAGTTCATGAAACAATTGGTCGGGGGAGGGGGGTGGTTTCTTAACGGAGGACTGTGGCCCAGTCCGGAAAGCGAAACCGCCGGTGCGTTAAGCACAGCCACCTAATCCACTGGACCATGACGACACCTCTTGATGCACTACTGTTAGCTGGGAAATGAATAAATTAATTATTATTATTACAACCACGGTTTCGTATTTTTTATTTTTCTATGTGTTTGCAGTTCTGACCATCTTTTTCGCCGTCACTCTCAGCAAGGCCGAACTTCCCTCCTGGATGGACTGGATTCTAGCGGCGTACGTTGGCTTCTACGTTGTCATCCATCTGATACTGTCGGTACGTATATACTCCACCAATAAAAAAATTAATTAAACGTCTGCGTAGAGATTGAAATTCCTTAAATACATTGTTATTCGATCTGGTGCAGAATTATAATAATCAGCAGTCAACTGCGCAGTATTGTCATATTTACATATATGTTATCGTTAATATATCGAATTCCGTGTTTCTATAAAATAACTAGTTATTTTAATTACGAGCACTTCCGTTTCCTTACAGTTTCGATGTATTGATTGAATCTAAAAATACATAATTCAACTATAATAGTTATTCTACACACTAACTAGATATTTTTTATTTTATAAACTACAAATAACAATTTAGTTGCATATACAATTGTTATTAAATCCATATATACAAATATTTTGAAAAATTGTTGTCTGATTTATAAAACGTTATTTTATTAAAATTATTAAATCATTCCAACACGCCCAATATTAATGCACTGGTTTTTGATGCACTTTTGTTTTGAAAAACTTTAGACCATTATCTTGCGATTGAGATTCCGATGTCTTTCGAAGAAAAATAATGAATTACAAACATCAACGAAAACTCAACTTGTACTATATCTATTAACTAATAGAAACCATTTAATGTACATATATTATCGAGCATGTTTAGGAAAATTATAGAATAGTTATTAAACTAGTTATTTAATAATAATTGTGCTTTCTAAATATAAAGTGAATAGATTTTTTTTAATTTAATTCATAACAACAAAATTATAATCAACTACAATAATTGTAGTTATACAATTATTGTATTCGCTCTTCTATACCTACTTATCCGCTCTCCTTATTTTCCTCGAAATTCGTCTATTACAGAATTTCACATGTCACTACTGCCGCAGAACTCATTGTGTCCTGTTTACTCCTGTTCCTTTACTGGATGCACCAGTCGTTGCGTGCATGCGCCTACATAATATTTTGTTACGCTGTTATTTTTATTATGTTTTAGATATCTGGTTGTATGAGCGAAAAATCCGGTAGCATGCGCATAAACACGTTCCCCATGAAGGATCTTCACAACGGCAGGAGTCCGATGAGTTACGAACAACACAAAGACGCGCCGGTAAGTGAATAAAACAATGCCAATTATTTATCGTAGCACGATGGCGAAACTCTCGGAGAGCGGACACAGCGAGAGGGATAGATTAAATGCGTTTTGTACGGTACACGTAGCGCGTGACACCATGAAATTATTAAAATATCGCGTTTTGATGACTCGGTAAAATTGAGCGCATCGCGCGTGAACGTGTAATCAAAACGCACGTTGAATAATACGCGCCCAACCTTGTGGAACATCACGAATTACCTATACTCAATCCTGCATTAACAGTATTTTTCGTAGAAATCAATATGATATCTAATTTTTAGATCGAAAAAAAAAATGTTGATTTGAAATTCAATCCTCATAGAGCATTATCTAAACCGACGAGCGAAGTATAACTCCAGCTTATTGTATCATTTTATTCTTATTCTGTAATAATTATGTGAATCATGCGCATTCGAATATTTTTTTATTATTAAAAAACAACCCTGCTTTTCGGATCAATCGATGATTTGACATTAACAAGTAGATAATATGCTTATGTCCTTAAATTATTCAATCGTATACCTTCCAGATGTTATATGCGTACTAGTAACGTAAAGATAAAATAAAGTTTGTCTGCAGTTCGAACAATTATTTGAAAGGGTTGAAAGTTATCAGTATTTGTTATATATGTTAGTTATATAATACTTGTTATATATATATGATATGCTGAATCAAAATATATTATTGATATGAATTAACATGGTTTTTTTTTTTGTTTTTTCAGCACGCCGGGTTCAGGAAATTTTGGCTGTTCATTCACGTACTGTTCATTGTTATTATAACGGCTGTCTTAGTATTGATTGTTGTTTTCGCTCCGATCGAATCCAAGTTAAATTCTATTCGCGGAGAATATTAGTTAAGAACTGTAAAAATCTGATGTATGATTTGTATTATAAATTTAATTTACTTTTTAACTGATTTACATTTTATATTATTTATTAAACCAAAAAAAAAAAAATAAATAAATAAATAGATATATACATATATGTTTTTAAATCCAGGATAATATATTTTATCTGACGACAACGGTTTTATTTTATTCTTAACATGTAGACCTTTACGGATTGTTATTATTAACCTTTTTCATTTTGATGTGATCAAATTTATCTGCCTATGGATTTGTCAGATCTTTGTTTATGTACTGTTGGTCATGTTCATACATGACACTACGCTATACTCGTATGGGTATTGAAACAATTAATATAAATCCAACTCGCGTCGTTTGTAAACTTCTTGTAATCATATTTAGATAGAAGTCAAGTCCTGTGCACGAACAGAAGTATTAATAGGATTCTATAGCATTATAAATTGAAAGTTTCGATACCACACGATGTTATTATAATTTAAATCTTTCAGTTTGCGTAGAATCAAACTGCGTATCGCTTCAAGTTAAATGCGATTTCGGATAAGTGACTGCAGCTATAACGTTAATTTCAAAATGTAAAAGTATCTACTTGCCGTAATCGTTCCTCAGAAGTAATGATTTCATTCCATTGCCGTGAACGTACATTTGAGCTACTCGTATATTATAACCACTCCGTGGACCGATTTTTACGCAGTTTTTCGCAGCAAAATGGTGCGTGTTGTTCGGAGATGGTTTAAAACCATTGACATATTTCATTACCCTAAATGCCATTCTCAAAAACCTGGTCGTAGATACTTTTGGTACTTTGGTGACACGAACGAAAGCAAAAGAAAAAAGTTATTAATTATTATTAGTGTTATACAGTCAACATGTGTCAAATTTCGTCAGGTAGTATTTATTCAACCGAAACAACATATGCACAGTGCGTAACAAGTAATGACGTATCTGAGGGGGCAGGGGAGAGCAATTTCCCCCGGCCCATGGCTAATAACTATATTTATTTTTAAGAAAATTTTAAATTGACCAATACATGATTCAATATTTAAACTGTTTATTACTTTTCAAATTTTTATTTGAATGACAATTTTTTGACACACGACAATGACACAGATTTTTTTTTTCAAATATTAATTTATGTGAAATATGTTTAATGTAACATAATATTTTCTTTTTATTTATTTATTTATTTTTTTTGTATTTACTTCGTAAGCTATAATTAAGGACCATTAAATAGGATAAACATTATGAGATGTCTAAAAATTTAGAAATACACTTAATAAATAACACTCAACATGTTTTAATAATTAGCTGCTCCTTCGCCTGATGAAATTTCTGGTAACGCTCTTGGTAACAATAATACAATTTAAGTGGTTACTGTGATAGTAATATCCACTCGCATAAGCATTAATTAATATTATTTTATGTTGGTTCAATAATACAGGTATAACGAATGGAACAGTAAAAAATATTGTTCGTTTCAGAACGTAGTGTATATTTTTATAATTATTTTTTTTTTAAACAACCATTTATAATTACAACCATATTTATTATCACACAAATGTGCTCAATAATATATTATGGTTTATCAACTTTCTATTAGCAAAATTTAAGTTGGAGGTAAAGAGTTGAACCATGATAATTTTATTGCACTGTCTAAAAATAATCTTCATTTTTATCTACAATAATATTATAGTAGTAAAAAAATAAAAACTACAGCAAAAAAAATAAATGAATAAAAGCATTCAGCTTGATTATGCTATACATTAATATAGTATTGTAGTTTACAATATCTTAAAGATCAAATAATAATGAATGACCTGTGTATTTGTTTACGATATTTACGACATTGTAGATATTGTATGAAATAAGGTTGTCAACAGTTTTCGGAGTGATGGTCGAACAGCCCGAGAGCTTTTTGCGATCACACGATCACGATGACGGAAAACACGGTTATAAGACGTTGATCGATTGTTTTACGAGTGGCGAGCATGCGTCGGATGGGCCGAAACTGATCGAACGTGAACAGATAGTATATGCATTCCCGTCCGAATGTGACCCGCAATGTCCGACCGTGAATCTACACCACGGAGTCGTAAGCGGATATCCATTGAAATTGTTGGGAAGCTACAATTATTTACATAAATCAAAAAGTGGGGGCTTCATCCCCACACCATCTTATGAGTTCAATTATTTACCAATTATTAACAATATAATATATATATATATATATATATATATATATATATATATATATATATATATATATATATATCAAATTTTATTTTATTAAAAAAAAATCTATTTTTTTATTAATACTACAAAATTATACAATCCATTAGAGACAATTAACATATCAATAATTAGGTAATAAAAGTAATGGATATTTTATTTTAAAACCAGCATTCTGGAGGATTTTGAGAATTAATTTAAAATATCTTCACTTTCAATACTTTTAGTTAGGTCTTTTTCAATGTGAAGAATAGATAGATTAGTAAATTGATGTTGGAACATAGAAGTTCTCACCCATTTCTTAATTCTACGCATAGCTGAAAAATTACGCTCGCACTTTATAGAACTAACTGGCAAAGTTAGTAAAGTAGCAATTTGTATAAATTCGGTATAAATCGCTGTTGTATAGGTATATAATATTATGAGGGAAATGTTCTCAATATTTGAAATGTACGATGTATATTTGAAAAAAAATTTGTCTTAAAATTTAGCAAACACTTTTGAGGGGGCCAAGCCCCCGGATATCCGCCAATGCCCGGAGTCGCATCCATCGTATCCAAAGCTCATTAGTACGTGCGCTGGAATTGTCATTGGGATGAGCGCGTCGCTGGGATCGATATTACGCGGTACCCGACCCGCAGTTTGACTGGGATGTATCGTAGGTCAGCGTTTCGGGATGTAGAAACGCACACTTGGCCGACCCTCATCCGCATTCGACTCTCACTGATGCTTGACTTGGGAAAAAATTTCAAAAACTGTAAAAGTACTTTGATGGCATCGACGCAGTTTGCATCTCTACATAATTAAAAACTGAACACAACCCTGTTTATCGCCATATGATATCTTCGAACACGGTACCACACAAACCATCAAACATTTCATAATTTATTACACTTATTTTCAACGTCCGGAACCATATTCCCGGCGTATAAATACTGTTTGAATGTTTTTTGTCTAAAGTGATTGAGATCAGTACAAAATTTAAAATTATAACAAGAAAAAAAAACTATATAATGGAGATATATCGTATATATACCCATATATGGGTACGTACGATACGATTTCGTACGTTCGTTATCAGCGATACCTTTTTAAATTACACGATACCGTACTATTTTACCTATTGCGTACAAAGTTTTGTACGTTGATGCTAATTTTCATACAAGTATTGGTACCATATGCCTATACGAGAGAACTTAATAAAGTTAATAAATACTTTTTGTTTTATTACTTTTATTACCATGCTTATTGTTAATGATATCAAATATATCAGATATAACGAAATTTCATTATTTCTGTTATATTATAAGGTGTTTTCTGAGTTTCAGTAAAAAAAGTAGGTTATAAATGTCAAATGTCAAAGAATCCAAATTTAAGCATTTTTAAATAATTTATCAACAATAATTTCATTCAAATAAAAACCGTCGGTTTTATTTATTTATTAATTACTTTTTTTTTATTTAGTTATCCTCATTTTATTTATTATTTGATTATTATTTTTTTTTTTACGAATATTATAAAACTATTAGTTTATTAGTACATGTATTCTACATTTATTAGATATAATACGGTGAAATTAGTAAATTTGACAACTTTGCATACTATTATGCATTATTATATTACATAATACATTATTACGCAATCGTGTTTATTTATTTTTCTTACCCTTCTTTTTGTTACCCACGCAATCGTGTTGTACCAGATATGATTGGGTTTGGATATTTTTCACCATCACGATTGAGTACGTTCTCCCTACCCAAAGTTAGTGCAACGTTACCATATAATTTATAATTAATCATTTAACAAATATTCTTGAAAAAAGTCATGTGTAAAGTAAATATGTCTAAAAAAATTTCAAAAATGTAGATTTATAAAAATATGTAAAAAATATGTAATGAGAAATGAGGTATCTATATTAGTTATAGATATATAGCTATATATATATTAGTTATAGAAGGTTATTATATTCAAACATAGGTACTTTAAATAGTAATCGATCAAAATATCCAATGGTCAAAATATTCAAGGACAAAATATCCAAATTTATTCGTTTTACTAAAAATTAGTATCAAATTATTTAATTGACTTGTTAGTAGCAATAAAATCAACGTGTGTGAAATTAGCCCCCCAATTTTTATAATTTAATATTTAAGCTAATATTTTCATAAAATTTACGTTTTTTTATGATTAAATAATTTGATATTTGAACTAGTTGTATTAGAAAGTATAGTGTAATGTACTAATTTTCGGAAAAACGGATAAATTTGGATATTTTGTCCATGGATATTTTGACCGTTGGATATTTTGTCTTTGTTTATTTTGGTTTGGATATTTTGTCCGTGGATATTTTGTCCTTGAATATTTTGACCTAAATTCACTATAAATATTGCTTGTATCCTTCCGTTTCCAAATAAAACGATATTTATTACTATCTAATGATACTAGATTTTCATCTCGTTCACTTCGTATAATTTTAATTTCATTATTTTCCATTATTTGACGAAAAGGAATATGCTACGTAATATATTTTATAAACTGATGAATACTTCGTTGACGTTTTTTGCGACAACTACGACGCCTGTAGGTATCGGTTATTTAAGTTACTAATAACATCCGGTTAATCCGATAAATATTAAACGTATCAATCGTTCAGCCAAAAGGAATAATTTTATTAATCATTCGATAACCGATTATCGTACTCAAAATTATCGTTCGATTAAATTTGGCAACATTTAAAAAAAATTAAATATTGGGCGTTCTCAATCATGTTACCAAAAATAACGTTCTCAATTGTATTTTATACCGGATTTATTATGTACCACAGTATCAACAACTAATACTTAGGTATACCTAAGTACATTTTGTAAATGGTTTATTTTCCATAAAAATGTTAATTTTTTAATTTTGTAAAAACTTAACTTAAATAAAGTACCTCCCATAAGTTCTTTTTTTAAAAAAATATTGTGAGCACGATAGAACATCTGAAAATTCAGTGCTCCCGCGTCAATCACTCGACCCTACCATCTCATGTGAACAAAGCCGGATCGGATAAATTAGGCCTACCGAGTTTTTTGTATGTTACCGGCATACTTACTAACTAGCGGCCCTTATCCAAATTTTTTTAATTGCATATTTCAATAGGTGCACTAATCTTCAACTTTAAACTATTAATATTTTCTATTAGCGGCGTTTCACAACTTAAAAAGCCAAAAATTGTCGTGGCCCACTGAGTTTTGCCCAGTAACTTACCTGGCCACTTCGGCCCTGCATGTGAAATTAATCTCACGACTTAAAAACGGCTAATGATTTCCGCGTGTACATTTTTATGACATAATATCGCACCTACAACCCGACCGGAAGTCTCGTCTAATCTTTCGTGTATTTCGCTTTCCGCACAGACGTCTCGCATTATTTGCATTGCTGGATCTGCAACGCAGATATGATACAACGACTGTGGAGTTTCGTAACCAGAATTCACATCGAACTGATGAAAAATAAAATGTCCGGACGGGTCAGAAAAAATACCCATAGTTAAGTTCAAAACTCTATCTATTCGAGTTCGAAAACCTAACTAGATAAACATTCTTGTTCAATTTTAATCATCGATGTTGTTAACACTTGCAAATAAAACAAACTAGATAGAACAATTTTTTTTTTTTTTTTTGTTCAAATCGGCAATACACTCTCCATTTGGAAACACCGTTAGACAGTACACCAAGTGGTGAGTCGCCATCATTTATTTAAAACGCAACTCACAAAAATAACGTATTGAAGTGACTGTGGGACAATCCCCCACAGTCAGGCCTCTCACAATAAATTTTTACAACTTTGATTGGTACGACCGTAGGACAATCCCCCACGGTCGACCCCTTACAAAGATTTACCTATTCTAACCTCAGGTAGATTAAAATACCGAACGCCCGTGGGCTTAAGGCTATGACAAGCTTTCGGCCAGTATGCTAAGGTACAAACTCCGTTACAAATCCTCAAAATATTTTATGAGGAGTGTTTTAAATGGGCTATTTTGACAAAACTTGTGACGGTGGCCGCTAAGTACAATTAGTGTAAATTATACGGCATACGTGGATAAGTACAGTTTAACCGGAATTACTTTTCCTTCACCATTGACTGAGATAAGATTATTTGAAAAAAAAAAAAATAAACCTAATGTGTCTATTATTGTTTATGGTTTGAAAGAAGAAAGAAGATAAAAGAAGAATAAATGTAATATATTTCCATTAGAAGTTATCCGATAAATTCGATCTTACGTTTATAACAAGTGGAAATATAAACCATTATTCGTTAAAATATGGTAAACAACTTATAATCACATTATCGCTTATGGTAATATACATGTACCTCGCGGATATATAAGACTGAAGTGTACGAGTAAATTTCACTCCGCTTCTGACTTTTGTCTCGGATACTCCTTTAATCGTACAAAAAAACAGCAAGTGTGATATTTTCTCTTCACCGTATTATTATTGCCAGCCGTGTTTTTATACGATTATTATATTTTGTGTGATTAATTTTTTTGTAAAATGTTTTACTATGGTGTGTGTAATTAATCTTTTGCCTGTGTCGATACTTTCGCGGTATACGAGAGGTCTCATACCGATCAACTCTTATCGTGCGATATCTGCACGAAAGTGTTGAAAACTGCTGTGATTACGAGCCAGGCCGACAATTCGTCGAACGGTGATCAAAGTAAGAATAATTTAAAATTATTTTAAGGGTAATATCGTAGTTATATTCTAAAACCTTATTTCTTTCTACGTTTTTAGGATTAAAACGAATTAATTTTGAGAACGGTGCTAATGTCATTATAGTGACAGTCTATAGACTATGTTGAATGTTGTCAACTCTATCGGCTTTGTAAAGTTAAAATTTGCATTTAACCGAAAAATAGTTTGGTATTATAGGAAGAATACGGAGGGCTTAACTAGTTATTCTGATTTTTTGGAACTAATAAAATTAGAATTAATTCAAAATCTACGGGAATGTTCGCTAGAAAATTCGATTAAATTAAATTTAAAACTCGAGGTGATCTATAATTTGCCTAATGTAGAAAACTCCTCTCAAAATAGAGCTTTCAAGACCTTAGCAAAGGAACTTTTTCTTATCAGTGATATCGAGGGTATGGTGGTTGATGACTTAACGAAGCTTACCGGAGAAGGGGAACAGTACGCTGGGAAATGCAGTGGCTATACATTGCAGCAGATTGACGGGCTTCTGTTAGGCGTTTACATGTATACCTCTATGGGCGGTTCTTCCTACATTGAACTCCCGACCATCATACGGGTTGAAAATGCTGTTACAAACCCGCAAAATATCGACGGTAAGTGTTTTAAATGGGTCATTTTGGGCCAAACATGTAACGGGGGCTGCTAAGCATAGAGTTGATATGAATTACACCTCGCATGAGGATAAATACGATTTCACAAGACATACTTTCCCCGCACCACTATCGGAGATTCGGATTTTCGAGAAAAATAATTTGAACGTTTTAATTAATGTCTACGGGATGAAAAAAGACGTGGAAAAAATGATATGTGTGTTATATTTCCATTATGAGTAGCGGATGTGGAAAAAACCGATCATATGGATTTACTTTTCGTGACACAAGGGGATAAAAGTCAATATGCCTTTATTAGGGATTTATCACTATTGGCGAGTGCATAAAAAAATGCTCATGATGAAAAAGTATTTTTTTGCAAAATATGTTTTACGTCGTTTGACAAACAGCCTAAAAAAATGAAATTACGTGACTAGGAGGCTTTAGATGAGCACAAGATGGTTTACGGTACACACAAAACTATTTTGCCATAGATGCCGGAAGATGGAACATTACTTAAGTATGAGGGGTGGGGTAAAACATGCCCCCATTCAATCGTGATATATGCCAATTTCGAGGCACTATTGGAAAAATGTTCGGAGGTACAGGGTAAAAATACCACTATTACGCACATACGAGTACATCGTCCGATGAGTTATAGATATTACGTGAAAGCTGCCGATTACGTGACCATCGATTTACTCGAAAAACATGAAATACCGCGAAAGCCGGTGATTTATCATGGGTCGGAAACACGAGAAGACGTTGCTAAGAGGTTCCTCGAAGAAGTCGTTTCAATCGGGACTCGTGTAAGAGACCTATTAAAGATAAATGTTGAAATAATTATGAGTGATGAAGAAGAACGTGTGCATTCGGCGTGTGTGAAATGTAATTTGTGTAGGGAAAACTACCGTTGCTAATTGCTAGGTGGCCGATCACTGTCACCTGTCCGGTATACACCGACAGACATTATGTAATGGGTGCAATTTAAAAATGCAAACGCCAAATGTTGTGCCGTGTTTCCTATACAATCTGACTAACTATAATGCTCACTTTATTATGACCGAATTAGAGTATGATACAAAAACAATCCTGGTCATTCTGAATAATGAAAAGTTTATATCCTTTTCGAAGCATATTTCACGAGATCTACATAAAATTTACAACATTATATTATTACTACATAAGATTTACAACATAAAAAGTGTTTTTTTGTCACGGAGGGCACTGATAAGAATGGTTATGAATTTGATCCGTATAGGGACAACATTTCTATGCGGTCCTTCGACCATAAAATCTAGACAATCAAGACTCACAAGTTATTGTACAATCGGCAAAACGATAAGCGTGTGGTTTTAAATTGTCAAATTCACACCCTGGCATATCCCGAACCTATGTTGTGAAGAGCAGTATGAAAAGGAGAGTTCTGGAACCCTCGCGCGCCACCCTGCCACCATCGTCTGACCGATCACATAACCTATGTATATCCCCCCCCCCCATATATGATACCATCATGCTGCTGTGAAAACCTACCATAATCTTTCTTGACCACACGCCTTATCTAAATCAACTCGACCCCCCCCCCCCCAATACCATACCCCCCCCCCATGCCGTACCTGGAATGTATGTCCATCCACGATATCTACGTCTTATCAATATTATAATTATTATCAGAGTTGTTGAGAACGAAAAAGCGGAACATTTCGACATTCTCGTGATTGAAGGCTCGGAACGGATGCACTATACCAACATTTCTAATTTTTCACGGCTGGTACGAAGTCAGAAAACCTCTCATGAAAGTAGGCTTTTTATATGCAAGAGATGTGTCACCTCATTCGATGAGCAGGTCAAAAAAAATAAATTGTATGGTAATGAGGCTCTCCAACAACACACGAAGCTATGCGAACCGAATAAACCGATTTTACCAGTTATGCCGGAGGAGGGGGAAGTTCTTAGGTTTAACGGGTGAGCCAACATGTAGCGTCATCCGTTTGTGATACACGCTGATTTTGAAGCTCTGCTCGAAAAACAAGCGGAACGGGGGGAGCGAGTACTGACGGGATACATGTACATCATCCAATGAGCTACGGGTACTTTGTCAAGGCGTCGGTAAACGTGTCCGTAGAATTGTTGGATAAATACGAAATACTGCAGGTGTCTGTCGTATATCGTGGGTCGGATTCGCGTAACGAGGTGGCCAAACACTTTGTCGCCAGTGTGACCGCGCTCGCTGCCAGGTTGGATGGCCTACTGAAGGCGACTTAATGTGCCGATTTCGATGAGTGTGGATGAGATACGTGTGCATAACGCGAAAAGTGTGTGCGATATGTGTAAGTTAGCGTTCACCGAGGCCGTGTGCAAAGTCGCCGACCACTGCCATCTGTCGGGACGGTTGAGGCATACGCTCTGCGCGCCGTGCAACCTCAAACTCGTCACACCCAAGTTTGTACCGTGCTTCCTTCACAACCTGTCGAAATATGACGCGCACTTTATCGTAACCGAACTCGGTTACGATAAGGAGTCGATAACGGTGATCCCCAAAACTGAGGAAAACTATATCTCGTTCTCTAAACGCGTCACACCCGATTTTAGCATGAAGTTCTTGGACTCGTGTCGATTTATGACCTCGAGCCTTGCCGAGTTGGCCGGGAACCTCCTTACGAAGCCCGGTGACTTTGATAAGTTCCGGGAGACTGCCAAAGAGTTCCAGCCCGCCGACCTGCCTCTCGTCACGCGAAAGGGTGTGATTCCGTACGAGTATTCCGACAAATGGTTGAGACTCGAGGAGACCGTCAAGCCACTGAAACGTGAGTTCTACAGCGTGTTGAACGAGAGGTACGTTAGTGATGAGGACTACGTGCACGCGACTGAGGTGTGGAGCCATTTCAACTGCGCGACCCTCGGCGACTACAGCGACCTATACCTAAAGGTGGACGTTATACTTCTGACCGACGTGATGGAGAACTTCCGAGACCTCTGCATGTCCACGTACAACCTCGACCCCGTGTATTATTATACGGCACCGGGGTTTACGTTCGACGCTATGCTAAGGTATACGGGCGTTTCACTGGAATTACTAACGGATTACGATATGGTGTTATTCGTGGAACAAGGTATCAGAGGGGGTTTGGTTCAGGAAAGTGAGCGATACTGTCGGGCCAACAACCCGAAAACGCCGGGGTACGATGCCACGAAGCCTCCGTCATGGCTCGTCTATCAGGACTGTAAATATACACCATTTATTCAATTACTTATATTACTAACTTTGAATCGTTACAGGTAACAACTTGTACGGGTACGCCATGGGAGAATACATGCCCTACGGGGGGTTCAAGTGGTACGAGGGAGATTTGAATCGCTCCTTGGAGTTGACGGACGGTACGACTGAAAAATCCGACGTTGGGCGTATCTATGAGGTAGATATCGCTTACCCAGACAGCCTTTATGACGCGCACAACGATCTGTCCTTCTTATCCCGGAATGCCATACCACCGGACTCGAAAGTTAATAAATTACTGGCTACGTTGGAGTGGAAAGAGCGATATATTGTACACTATCGAAATTTAAAGCAAGCCATTGCTAATGGACTAATAGTGGAAAAAGTAATATATATATATAATAAATATTTTCACCGGAATTAAACCACGTGAAAAGTGTGCTGTATATATATACATATTAACTGCAGTATCTATCGATAAATTATAGGTTCACAGGGTGTTGGAATTCCGACAGTCAGCTTGGCTTGCTAAATATATAAATTTAAATACCGAGATGAGAAAGAAGGCCGGCAATGAATTCGAACGTGATTTTTTCAAACTACTTAATAACGCGGTGTTCGGTAAATATTTCAGACAGCTCGCCATTATCATTAATCGTACTACATAATTTTATTATTATTATTATTCGAATTTGCTGGGAAAACTATGGAACGCGTTCGAAATAATATTTCCATGGAATTGGTTTCATGTCCACGTCGAATGCGGAAACTAATCAACAAGCCCACGTTCAAACACGTAACCTCGTACAATGAGAATATGGCAGCCGTATTATTGCAAAAGAGCGACGTGCATTTCTCCAAACCTATTTACATAGGATTCGCCGTCCTGGAAATAAGCAAGGAGTTAATGTATAACTATCATTACAATGTGATGCGACGGCATTATAACGACTCGATTAAACTGATGTATATGGATACAGGTCAGTTTTCGATATAATAAATATTATTCACACTCATATATCTAACGTATAACATGACTTATAACCAGATTCCCCGGTATATCGAGTGAACACAGACGATTTCTACAAGGACCTGGTGGACAAACCCACGCTCCTCGAACGGATGGACACCTCGAATCTCCCTGTCACACATGCCTGCTACAACGGTACGCGTAAGAAAATACCGGGGTTGTTCAAGGATGAAACAGCCGAGCGTACTATGTACGAGTTCATTGCACTCCGCGCGAAATCTTACGCGTACAAATCGATAGGGATGAGAAACTCGTGGCCAAGGGTATTCGTGGGCATGTGGTTCGCAATCACATGACGTTCGAAGACCACAAGCGCTGTCTGTTCGAGGACGAGAGCACTGGTGACGGTGACGAAAGCTAGGAGCTCGGTACTGACGATGCCGATTTCGACGACGGTGATTTCGGCGACGACGATGGGTGGAAGGATGTGGAGATGAAACGGCGTGCGCGTCTGATAGCCCGATCGGTCGTCGAAACGATACACGGGAATGCCGCCGCCGCCAAGATTGCTGGCGTAACGTTTTTCCCGACACCACTTCCCCCGTATACACCGTACTGGGAAAATTTATCAATCCGATCGTTCAAACATTGTGTTAAAACGATTAAGACCAAGAAAATGACTTATTCGTTTCGACGATAAACGTGTTGTTTGCGATGATCGAATACGAACGCGCGCGTACGGTCATTACGCGCTACGCGAGTGATATTGTATTTTATAGACTTATGTAATAATGCTTTCAAAATAAATTGTATGTAAATAACAAATTTCACTTTTTCCTCGTCAATATTGTTTCTAATGAGTTGTTTACCACATGCACACACACACACACACATACATATACACACACTATAATATATCGAGTAGATGTGAATATGAGTTACATTATTTTTGTCATAAAAAATATAATTATTGTTTTCGCAAACGAAATTAAGTATCGTCTAATGACTCTGATTTAATGAGACGAGGTCGAAGTTATTAGACGATACTTAAGTAAACTATGGAAAGAATTGATGACATTACTAGTGAAAATCGACGTGTTGAAATAGAAAAGGTGTACATTTTCTCGGGCTTAAATACCCATGGTTTCAATGTGTTCGACAACAGTGTGCAGTAATCGTCTTCAGTGAACAGTTCTCTACTCGCTTACTATACTTTACAACGTATCCCTGAAGCATACTTCTGTTGCCAGCACCAGCTACCAGTACCGACGGTATCTTCACCAGCACTAACAGCACCAGCACCGAAATCATCATAACGACAATAGTCCGCACCGCGAAAGACACACGTTTGTTTCACACAGTGAGTTATCATAAAATGTTGATAGATAACTAATCAGACATAATATATATTATATAATTATATATATTTAATATTTATTATATACATAATATTAATATTTATGTGTGAAATTCATATACTCATAATTTTATCATGTTCATTATAGGCCATGGACTCGTTATTGAATGCTCTAAATAAAAAATGCAGTACGAGAACCGTATCCATGAGTGAACTCGTCATGGGCGAGAAGTATAATATAGTAAAATTTGCGGAGGTCGCTACAAAATTCGGACCCGCGGTTGTGTGCACGCTCGAGGATGGGGGATAATGGTCACATTGATGTATTCCTGCCCAAGATGAACAAAATGAGTGCGGATGTGATCACATCGTACAATCAGCGGCCGGTGGAAGACCATCTACAGCTGATATATAAAGGGAAACTAGGCCGTGCCTTTAATGTGGAATTCTCGAAATAAATATATTTTCTCTTCATACATACAAACTGTTAATCATTCTATATTTATTTATTTAACGGCTAACCTCTAAGGTAAAACAATAGTTCTCCCTGTCTCCTTAAAGTACCGAGAACTCGACTCGTCTTATCCCGGAGTACATATATATATATATATATATATATATATATGTAATAATAATATAAATAATACACAGTAGTAATATTTGGTATTTCGTCTTTATTTTTTTTATAGAGTTGTGGAAAAAAAATAAACATTGGTACAATACATACAAGTCTTATGTGTAATAAACCATTTGCGTAATGCGTAAATGTTGTAGAATGTACATTGTTTTGAATTCATATCTTTGTGGAAAATACACCGAGGTAAAATGTCGTCGGACTGCATTTGGTTGAGCCGCGGGCATCCTAGTTCTTGTAAATTGATGACCTCGATGTGTGGCACGAACTCTTGAGACATCTGTTGTTTCTGCAATCCCTTCACGTACATATGGTCGAATTTCATCGAGTTCAAAATCCGATTGATTTCACCGTACTCCAACGTCTCCGTGCTCTAGAGAAAACCCATGAAAGTACCGCTTCAGCCATCGGTTGGCCCTTTGCGATTTCTCGTCTTGAACAATAGACGTATGTTTGAATATCCAATGTTGACTGGTCCACCTTTCCGTGACCACTACGGACATTTCTTTTACAAAATATCTTCTATGCACGCCGAGAACGCACTGAACATCCACAATGGCCATCGTAATAGTTTTACGTATTATGCTGTATCTTTTATATATGCTTCGAGCGAATTCACACCACTTAATAGTTTGGAAATTATGTTATTTATCGATTTCGATCGATCCGCGGTCTCGATCAGATGCTGTGCGAAAGGGTTGGCAAATCAGGATTGAAGCCCGTCGCACAATGTTCTAATACTGTTTATCTGGTCCTGGGTGTCGATTCCTTTTTCCAAAAGCGTTTTGATAATCTCCTGTTGCTTCTTCTGAATTTTTTCCACCTAAATTGTAAATATTTTGTTGTTTTCCTTGATTCTGATCACGGCTTTTCTCCTCTTGCCATCCGTAGTTGCACCAAACACGTTCATAGCGATACTGATGTTATCCTCGCATATCACTCGCTTTTATCCAGCTACTGTGCGAGTCATCGAATCCCAACCACTTGACGAACAAACGATTTCCCCTTATCTGGATAATTTTCTCGACTAAGTAATCGTCTGGGTACATGGTTTTCGACAATTCCTCGGAATAAAAACAGCCCAAAATCGGCGAGCCGGTATAATCTCGCAGGCCATACGTTACAGGCGACGTTTTATTTACTCTGGCGACAGTGAATATTTCCGCGGACCAGTTGGCCAGATATCCTTTGGTAAAAACACCTTTCCATATACTTATACAGACATTTATATTTACTAATTTATAGTATACTATTTATACCTACTTTATATTTAGATATTTTTCCCGGGATATCGCCTCGCTGATTACGCAATACAATCGAAGCGGGCGTTTCGTCCGTTTGCGTGGGCGTCATTCCCACAGTCCTGTGTTTAGAATTATTGTACATGCGCATCAACACGGGCAGAATGCTGACCCATTCGTGCGAACCTCTGGTGGTAAACTCTCGGAACATTTTCCCCTTCAGAGTCAGGTTGATCCGTTCCACGATACACGCTTTGGTCGTAGTGAACGTTGAATACTTTTTAATTGTATACTTTGTCATTAGGGTGTCAAATGTTTTATTATAAAATTCTTTGCCGTTATCCACCTGCAATAGTTTCGAGGGCGAGCGATCGCGTAATATCCGTGCAAAAGCTTTTGCAACTTCCGTACCGGTTTTCGTTTTTAACACTAGTGCCTAGGCGAATTTCGTAAAACAGTCGATGACGCACAATATGTACTTGAAACTTTTGTTTTCCCCGGCGTACGGTATCATCTCCACGAGATCGGCTTACCACAGATCGTTTTTTCCGTATACGTTGACCACACGCCTGGTATAATTTTTTCTTGCCGCTTTATGCAACTCGTACGCGATCTCACGTTTGGACATAGCCGGGAATTTTCCTTATTATCCCCGCTTCGTGTTATTCCTCGTAAATGGACAGTATCTCGTTCGAAACCCCCGTATTGCCCGCGGACCGTGTTGCCAATAGAAGTCGAAGTCGGTCGACAAGTTCATTCGGGTCGTTCCAATAGACTAGAGAATTATGTTTCTATAACCTCACAGAAAGTTTACCGCCGTCGGACACAAACAATTTGGTAATAATATTTTTATATTTATCCCCTCCAGTTTTAATTTTTGTCCCGTCTAACGTCAAGTGCGCCGATGTCTGAGCCAATATCGATTTATATGTTTCCAATTCTTGTGTGGTATATCGATATGGATGTTTGGATCTCAGCAAACTCACGAGCTTCGGTGTAAGAAGGCGTGTGATGCCCCCGATAACTAGCGTGTTCCCCACGAATTTAATTTCTTTGTCGCCCAACTTAATAGTGCCGTTAGGTAGTTTTTTCGGACCTTACGTTCGGTCTTTGGCCTGCGAACGAAACCAGCTTTCGATGTCCACCGAAATTGGATTATTCGAAAATTCCGTCTCGTTTTCAACGTTCTGCTCCTCTTCGTCCTCTTTGTAATCGGTCTTACCTTTTCCAACGGATCGATTATAGGTTTCAAAGTTTGCGCGACAATGGCACGAGCATCGGCCTCACCGTATTTCAACGCCGAGTATTTACGTCTGATATTCTCCTTTGCTTCGGCTAATTCGGCTATTAGTACATCTTCGGAAGTCATGATTTTGACTGTTGCAATGCGCTGGAGACGTCGTTTTATATAACAACAAACGTATCGAACCCATGTCTATACCGTCCGTTATTTCGTTCGCAGTCCTTGCTTATAACAATAAAATCGAACTGTCCATGGGCCCAAAGAGTCGTGTAAAATTCTCTGAAATCCGAATACTTCATATCGCCCGAATAGTGTTACGAGTAAGCGTGTTTCAAATTGGTCTCGTCCTGTTTGAACAATACTATGAAATTACTGTTATCCCGGATAAGGTGTTTCGGCACGCGGGCGTAAGATTGTGCCATGTAGCACACGTCGATTCGATTGCACACGATGATGTGCAATACGTTGAAGTCGTTGGAACAATCGAGTCCTATGTTCAAAAATTTGCACGCATCAAAGTCTATCACGAATGATGAAGAACTGATGAGCTTATTAAGTGCAGGAGCTGCATGCTTTATCTTCTTGCCGACGACCGCGTTATCAACCATCGAACCGACCATCTTGATTAATACTGTACGTCTTTTTGAAATATCACTCACTGACACTTTATTGAAAAATAAGACTCGAAATTATAACACAATTCACGGTAACTCTAATATTTGATACAGTACGGTTTAAGATGTACGACAAAAGTTAGAAGCGGAGTGAAGTATAGTCGTGTATTTCGACTAATTATTAAATAAATATTTCCATCAAACACGCTATGTATAGCTAATCAATACACTCGTAGGGTATAAGTTAATCACATTTATGATTTTTTCAAAACAAAATCGTTAAAATTTCTAAAATCACACATACATGTAGTGGCTCATTAGTGGCAGAATTGCATTGCATTGCATAATTGTTGGGCTAAGTACTGCAGCGGCGGCGGCATAAACGTGTACATACGATTGTGACACATGGCGGTCGCACATGGTCGGGCTAATGCAGTAGTAATAATGATAATAATAATAATATTGATAAGACGTAGATATCGTGGATGGTCATATATTCCAGGTGCGGCAAGGAGCGGAGGGTATGATATTGGGAGTGGGGGGTCGAGTTGATGTAGATAAGGCGTGTGGTCAGGAAAGATTACGGTAGGTTTTCACAGTTGCACACGGAGAAGATGATATATAGGGGGAGATATATATAGGTTATGTGATCGATCTGGTGACGGGGAGGGGATATACGTAGATCAAGTGATCGATCGGGTGATGAGGGGGCAGGGGAATATACGTAGGTCACGTGATCGATCAGACGATGAGGGGCGGGGGAATATACATAGGTTATGTGATCGGTCGGACGATAGTGAGGAGGGGGGAGATATACATAGGTTATGTGATCGGTCAGACGATGGGGACGGGGTGGCGCGCGGGGGTTCCAGAACTCTTCTTTTCATACTAATGTGAAGTATTGTATAAAATATATACTTATAAGATGGTGGTGGTTAATAACTTAGTTTTAAATTATTGTATGTAAAAGTTTAGATATTATTTAAGGTAAGGTATCGAGAGAAAAGTCATAAGCGTAGTGAAATTTACCAGTACATTTTAGCCTTATATATTCATATATATGCTATGCTATATTACCATGTGCATTAGGTATACCCAAGGCCGGATTAAGGAGGGGGTCTAACCGATGTGGTAACCTCGGGGCCCTCTCGAGTACCCAAGTGAAGGGGGGCCCGAACAACTTTAAGCCGATACACATTTTTTATCATACTAAAATTAGTAGTTTTATAGACATTAATTGTATATACCTATTAATTTTATAATTTTATAAAGAAATTGACAATTTGTGAAAAATTTAAAAAACATGTATCGTTCTGCGAGGGTAGTGAACAACTTTGTAAAGCATGTTTCGTCAAAAGGACCCATTAAAATGTCAGCCCCAGGGCCCAAACCACAGCTGAATACACTTAAAAAAAAAAAAGCACGTCGACGTTGTTAACGTCGAACTCAGATGCCCGTGCCTAGACCCATTATTTAATAACAATAGTAATAATAATATTAAAAATACTTCCAAGATCCCAGAGCTTCCATTAACTTCATTTCTTCAGACTCGAACGACACACTGTTCTCGTGCAGAAACGGAAGATCAATTTGGAACTGGTGTCGATTTTCGAATATTTAATGTTAACTCCGTACACTATCCAGCTCGTCGAGTGCCGACTCGATCCATTTAAAGCCGCTGTGCAGCATAAACTGAGACATCGCCCACCCGTAAAAGTTATTATCTATAACATTTTAAAATATTTAAATAATAAAGTAATTAAATAAAACAAAAATAATTGAATGGTTTATATTCGTAAATTAATGGATATAAAAATAAATGGTTTATATATATTATTTATATATATATATATATATAAATCATAAATAAATATTTGGCCTGAAGTATTATTATATTTGTAATGTACAACCGGTTTCGCGTTAAAAATTCATAATCAGGTATATACCAAGACCATAGACCGCATAGACCTGTATTGTGTAGGGTACTTACAATAATTTTGGGCCTTATCTTAACAAAACGTATAAAAAGTATATTTAATAAATTACAACATATGAATGATTAAATAAATATAACTTTTATATTTTATTGATGAATATTTTTTCCTTAAATCTCGTAGATATATTTTCTAATGTAGTTCAAATAATTTATGATTTATATTTTTATAGTAAATTGTAGCTGTTATATTATCATAATAATTTTTTGAACGAAAATATAAAACATTTTTTTTTTTTTTTTCTTATTACGAAACATAATATTTATTTTTTTATCAAATATTTTAGAATAAATTTAATTTAATTTAATTTGAGCAACATCGGTTAAAATGCGGGCCCTTACTCTTAGACTAATATTTCAGGGGCTTTAGGGCATACCCTAACCCCTTTGCTTACACCTATGACAAAATCCATAAAATCGAAATTAAATATGAAAAAATAAAGAAAAGAATAGATTAAGAAAAATAATCGATTTACATAGAGATTATTTAAAAGTTTATTCTTATAAGGCAGATATTTTAAGAAATATAAATACTTTGGTTGTAATTTATTATTATATAAAATGTATTAGCATAAGATATTATTTTTAAAATCGGTTTGTACACTTAAAATATCATTAAAATTGTTTTTTTTTTATTCCGTTGTATATGTGTAACTCCTAACTCCTCTAAAACTGAATTAATGTAAATATTATTTTGGATATTTAATATTTATAAATCAGTACTGATATCAAAATGTATACTATGGTCATTCTTTAAATATATTTAACAGTATTTGAATTTGGGGCGGTCTTTTTTAATTTTATTTCAGAACTGTATCCTTTATATAATATTTTAAAATTTATATTTATCCTACCTATGATGTATTAAATGCTATTTATTATGTATTAAATGTGTTACAATTACATTTAAGTTTATGTATATAAGCATTTTCAATGAAACTGCTTTTACATTTTTAGTAATATAATTTAGAATTTTAGCGAATTTGTTTGATATATTATTTTCATATTTCATACAACAACGGTTTACAAAGTTATTCAGTGAGTCCTGTTCTATTATTTCTGTATATATTTGTAGATTTTTTTTTAATAATATTTCAATTGAAACTATTTTTATGTGCTGTATTATAAATAGTATTGACCTCGTTGTGGTAATTATGTTTAATGAAATAAAATAATAAAATAAATGATCTGTATGTAAAAAGGCTGATTTTTTCTAAATGTATTCCTTTATTAATTTTTTCATATTCAGTCCCGATTTAATTAATTTTGTATACCTACATACCTGATGATGAATTTTTTAATTTTGAACCAATTGTGCATTACAAATATAATAATACTCCAGTCTAAGCATTTATATATTTATTTATTTATATATTAAAATATTTAATATATAATTTTATATGCGATGAACACATACCGACTAATAATATTCATACTCACATTCTTGATACATAATCTATGAATCAGCCTCCTCGAAGTTGGGATCCGGCGTATTGCAACTATTCGCCTTCCCGTAATGCGTGCTCGCCCGCGCCATTCTACTTCTAATGTTAAAATTTTACGATTAATAACACACGTTTATTATTATTGTTATTAATATTTAGTATACCTTTCTCAAACATGAGCAACATGTCGAAGTCGACGAGAAACTCCGAACTTCAAAGTTTTGACAACGTCTTTCTATCATTTAAGTATTATTGTTCTTCTGGATCACGAAAAATATTGGGTTTTTAATGGTGTTTCGTGTTTTTTAGTGCATATCCTGCATATAATCGGCCGAATTTACATAAATCACACAACTCATATGATGATGGTTGTAGTATGAGTATTCACTCCTTATTCTCCTGACATTTTTTCAATAGCTCCTCGAAATCTGTATGCACGACAAACGGGTGGTAATGAGTTTTACCCTAAACTTCGAATTTGATATAAGCGCCATCCTCCGGCATCTATGATAAAAACGGGTTATGCGTGCCGCAAACATTCATGTGCTTATACAGAACCTCTTGATCGCAAAATTTGAATTTTTTCCGCAGACTGTCGAACATGGTAAAGCTATTTTTGCAAATAATAGTCTACCGTCATAACTATTTTTCTGCAAGCCCACCAACCACGATAAATCTCGCATAAACTAGTAACGGCTATTCAATCGGATTTTTCGCAGAACATTTGCATAGTTTTATAATTAATTCTAATTTTACTAATTCCAAAAAGTTAACTGTCAAACGTCAGTTTTATTTCGACGAAGCCGGTAGTGTTGATAACATTTAGTTTGACCTTTTGACGGATATTGTTAACACTATTTTTGAAATGTATACGTTTTAATGATAGTCCTAGAAACGCGAATAAAAATATTTAGAATCTAACCGCGATAATGCTATGATAAAATTTTCAAAATAATTCTTACCTTGATCATCTTTCGGTACGTTTAAATTCGGTCTGAACTCTCAGAAGTGGCAGTTGTTGTAATAGGCGACATCAAATCGATTTTCGATTGTTCAGCTGTTCGGCACAAATGTTATAATATAAGCGCTGATCGGTGTGTGATCCAATAAAAATAAAATCGTACGAAAAACGATAGTATAAATATAATGACAACTAACAAAAATTTCACGCTCAATATTCTTATGATCGATTTGGTCCGGTTAAGGTCTCGATCGAGACAAAAGTCATAAGAGGAATGAAAGGTGGTCGCATATTTCAGCCTTATATATTCACGAGACGAGTATAAATTATATACATAGGTAGTCATTAGATATAAAGTGATTACAAGTGGTTGATCACATTTGAAATTTCAAAAACCTGTGTTTATACATTCTAAACCATTAGTCAGAAAACGATTGTAAGCTAGGCGCATTTATACATTTTAAATTATAATGATATGTTTCCTAAAATCACACGTACATCATATAACATCTGCATTATTATGTTATTAAAATAGGTCACCACAGACAGGTACATTATTCCATCAGACGTTCTATGAATCGCCATGTTATATTACTATTGTTGTCCTTAACTGCAATGCGATTATAAGTTAATCACGTTTGTACATTTTAATCGCAGAAGTGTTATTACTTTCTAAAACCATACGTATACCTCGTAATATCACCGATAATGGATAATCAAAATTAAACGTACAATACGTACAACGTGTACAACGTTTCACCGTAACATACAATATAAATATGAACTCCGTAACAGCACCAATAATAAATAATTAAAACTACGTTTCGATACACGCGTAATGTTTAACGTCGATATTATATTGACATGCGTATAGCTAATGACTGTTTAGCCGACGAGCGAACGGACGGTAGTAACATGATGATGGGGCGGAGCGAAGCGCGGGCGCGAAGGAAATGTCCTTTGTATATTACTTAATTATAACAAAACATTTCAATGTTGTTCCATGAAAAGAAAATATATTTTTTCGCTTTTCAGAAAAAAAAAAAATTGAAAAATCAACTAAAATATGTATAGATAATAAGTCACATCATTCAATCACCTGTATAATAGGCTGCTTGTTTAGGTGGGATCCCATGACTCGTGTATTTGACGAATATCCACGAATACTATTTACTATTTCACGAACATCAATTTTGGTAATTAAATTCCCTTTGACTCGTGTCACTTTTGCCAACAATCCGCGAAAAGGTGGCGAATAACGAATACCGAATATTTGCACAAGTACTCCATTCCCCCTACTCGACAAGTATCCATGAAGGGTAAAATACGATTGCGTACGTTCGTTATCGGCGATACATTTTTAAGCTACAAGATTCCGTACGGTTTACCTGATTTTTTAACTACACGATTGCGTACGAAGTTTTGAACGTTGATGCCAATTTCATACCAGTATTGGTGTATACTACATGCTTATACGAAAGAACTTAAAACATTTAGTAAATACTTTGTACATTATTGCTTTTATTACCTATGTTTATTGTTAATGTTATCAACTATATCAGATATAACGAAATTTCGTTATTTACTTTGTACGGTATTTTCGAGTTTCAGTAAAAGTAGAGGTTATAGATGTCAAGAAATGCAAATTTAAGCATTTTTAAATAATTTATTAATAATAATTTCATTCAAATAAAAGCTGTCGATTTTATTTATTTATTAATCACTTTTCTTTTATTTAGTTATCCTCATTATATTTATTATTTTATTATTAATGCTTTTTTATAAACTATTATAGAATTGTACATGTATTTTATATTTAGATACAATACGTTGAAATTAGTAGATTTGACAACGTTGCATATAATTTCATACTCAATCGTGTTTATTTATTTTTTTTACCCACCTTTTTGTTACCAATCTACAAACGTACGCAATCGTGTTCTACCCACCACGAATACCAAATATTCGTCAAATACACAAGTCATGGGATCCCGGCTTGCGTTCCGTAAGATTGTTGATAAGAATTTGCTAAACCACGGCAGCTAAGTTTCGTCTCACATGCCTGGACACAACTTACCATCTCATTTATTGACGAATTATTTGCGTCCCAAATAATAATTTCAATAACAATATGATTGGGAATGTTGGAATTATAAAAATTAATTTTAACAGTCAAAAAGATAACGACGATAATGAACATTCTCAATCGTAGTTCTACTTAATTACCGTAACATTTTATTGAAACTCAAATTTCCAAACGTAACAACAAAGAAATTAATAGTATGTTATTTATAACTAATGTAAGTCATAAAGCAGAGTTTGACAAAAGATAATTATATTTATATCAATATTGAAGACTATATTATTGTATCTAGTAAAAAATCCATATTCAGTACTATAGTATATAGACATGTGGCTATTATCGTATATAATAATATATATTATACCAGCGTTTCTCAAACTTGTTTTATCAATGGAACCCTTTTTGATGTTCACATTTATTGTGGAACCTTTCCTTTTTTTTTAGCTTTTTTTTAGGATTATTTGTAAATAAATTATAATCATATAATAATATTGTGTTAAAGGTATTTAATTCAAAAAATATGTTAAAATAAAAATTAAAATAATAATAATTATATACATATATCTATAATAATATTTTAATAATAATTACTTTAATAAGACTAAATATAAATTTACACTATTCCATATGGCTTATACATTGTTATTTAATATACAAAGATTTTTTTTCTATAATTTATACATTTTTTCACCATTACTAATCTTAAGTTGGAAATTTTAAAGTAATTTTCTCAAATTTTTTTTAAAAAATTACTAAAGCTTTACGGAACACAGTTTAAGAAACGCTGTATTATACTATAAAGGTAAGTATGTTGTACTTCATATTAAACATAATTATACATTTTATAAGTTCAAATATAGAGCTCTATACAAAAATATTAAGGTTTTAACAAATATATTTTGTACTACATAAACTTTAAAGATTATCTTATGTTGTATTGCTGTGTTGGTTGTTCTATGAGCGAGGGTATGAATGAGTGACAGTGGTGTTTAATTTAATTTAAAATATAAATTTATTTCAATATGAATTTATTGAGTATACGTAGCGAAGATTCAATAATTTAAATACAAGAGTAAACTGAGGATAATACTTAAGTGTCTGAAATGACGAACTCTATGTCCATTTTAGATGCTAAGTTTTTTTGAAATAAAATATAAAATGGACAAAAATAAAGTATGTGCTACATGCGTAACACGTGAATATATGCGTAACATATTAAATTATTATTTAAAAAAATATATCCAATACTTCATTTTATTCTATTGATCTATATTTGTTTTATATATAATATTTTACATTTTCCCGAATAAAATAAGGTTTATATCATATAATTTAAAATGAAATTCTAACTATTGCTTGTAATTTATAATATATACCCGTTTTAAATTACGTACTCTATATTTACCCAAAAAAAAAATGAACGAAAACTATTCAAATAACGTTGTTTGAAATTTATTTGAATAAAATGTTTTCTAAATAAAATTGTATTCGAATAACGTCCTATTTTGTCTTAAAGTCCTGATATTGATTTATAACAATATTATTAGATATGACAGTTTTTGACAATATACCTGTTTTATTTTCATGTAATCTACAAATAGCTCTAAAATTACTGAATTTGTGAAAAATTACAATAATTATTAAATATACGGTCACAAGGCGGTGGTAATTTAGCATATACTTGATTACATTATTACGTAATAAATATAAACCTAAGCGTTGGACTTAAATTATATAAAATATATAATTTATATAACACAATATATTTTATTTTTATTTCAAATTTTTAATTTTTTAACTTTTAGTCTTAGCATTTTTATTTATTAATTTTCAACAATGAATACAACATTAAGTATATTTTAAGTAAATTAATTAATAAATTTAGATAGGTTGTACAAAAAACATTGAAGTATAACAAATCATGTCATTGGTAAAAAGCGTTTTCCAATTGAAATATAGCCTGTTAATAAGTGAAAATTAAATCTGCTATGTGCACCCATAACTCTGACTTTTTTAAACCTATTTTAATTTTACCGTCAGTTTGATTTATATTATATAAAAATAATTATAATGACTTGAAATAAAACTCTTGTGTGCAGAATTGTATCACATTATATGAATAGCCGTTGTCGATTTACTAGAAATATAAAGGTTATTTTTTTCTTTTGAAAATTTTGCGTTAAGGCTATTATTAACTATTTCGCTCGAACATTTACTTTTTTTTAAGTCTCGGTTATTTCATGTTAGAATAGTAATCACCGTTAATTCTAAATATTTTATTATTTTTTTATTTTTGCTTTCTGGAAAAACTATTGCAAAACAATTCTTTTTATCTCTTCGCATATCGGTGCAATTGAAACATATTCCGTTGTCGACGGATTTTAGCGGACGATTTATTTTGTCCAGTCACACGTGAGTTTACTATAGTCCTAGTGTGTGTTTATTTGGTCAGAAATGTCGGTTATCATTACGGAATCGTGTTCAACACTATATCGGCATTGGGAAATGTATTGCTTGTTAAATCTCGTGACGTAAAATATTACGCGGAGTAGCTCGCGCCACTGAAGTCGAGAAGCGTAATAATAGTAATAATTTTATCAAAGTGAACGTATCTGTGTGTGTTTATCGCGATATGCTCTAGAGAATATTTAGATTGCGTTTTGGGACGACGAGTATAAGAGTGGAATTAATTAATCAATTTAAAATCGATTAGGCAACGTTACTCGTATTCTGCATTTCGTCGTATGTTATTACAATGCTAGACGTATGAAAATACTACAACTCCAAATGAATAATTTCGGTATGAGAAAATATTTAAATGTTTCATTCAATGAAACATTTCGGTACGCTACTTTCTTTCGTATAACGATTGACATTTGCCTCGGAATACGTACGACCACAATGCTTGATTTTTTTTTTCTATAATAAAGCTTCAGCATGAATCTAATATTCGAAATATTTCGATATTTATATAATATAAACTATTACGATAGTGAAAGAATACCATTAGATTAGATTACCGTTATATAAAAAAGTGAGATGATTGTGGTGTAAGTTCGTTCTTCGTCCCTTCGGTCCTCGGACTAGATATTGTTGATGGGTGTATTGAGTTTTAAAGAAACGATAACTCATTTCTTTAGTAAAATGATTCTGAACAAAGCTTCAGTAAATAAATATACTGTTTAAATATTCTACCATTTTTAGTCTAATTATCGTTAGGATCTTTTTATTTATCAACCTTTTAAAGTTTTCTTGTTTGACAATTGAAAAAAAATATTTTATCAAAACATAGTGCGTTTGTTGTACAGAAGTTTATTTTAATAACGGCGGTTCACTGTTATCGACCCAGTGTGCAATAGAAATCGTATATAACTTATGCATAGCCATATAGGTATAAAGTAATATATATAATGTATATTAATTATTATAAATTATATAACTTTTATTTAAGTACCACATTCAACAATAGAGTTTTCTATTATCAAATATAAATTTTATATCGGTTGCATATTTATTAATAATGAATATTAATTAAATAATAATATATATTTACTAGGTAAGTATATATTTTATAATTGGTAATTAAATACTAATTCAGTTAGTATAGTATATTATTTTAGTTGTTAGAGTGGCAAATTTCCACCGACTTACACGAGGAAAACATGAAAATACGCCCCTGTGTATAACGTTTAAAATGTATTTAAAATTAAATGACAAAATCGTACTATTATATATTAACATGCATATACGATACACATTCATCAAGTCATGATGATTATAAAATATTATTTGGATACAAAATAAAAAAAATAGAAGAATGTAGAGAATTAAAAAAATTATAATTGTATCCTTAAAGAATACAACTATATAAATAGTGATAATTTATGTGCATTCAGTACTGGTTTTTATAGAATAAAATATAAAATAACAACATAATAACTCCAAGATAATAACATAACTATTTGGTGTTAGGAACTCATTATATAAAAAAAAAAATATCACTACACAACATATACAAATTATTTAGAGTTCAGGTAGAACTATAATTATGCTTGTACATTTTTACCAAAATATTTTAAAATAAAAAATCAATCAACTAATTAGAAAAATATATATTTATTCTTCCTTATACGTTTAATAAGAATAACGAATTTTTATCTAAATCGAATATAAAATGCAAAATGTGAATATTCATTCGTCTGTCAATTATTTAATAATAAAATATAATTTTTATTACGAAAGAAAAAAAATGTCAAGTGTTTAACGATGAACCATTAATTTGGTATGTTTTAGTGAAGACAATATGACTATAATTACGTTACTTAAATGTTTACCAAATAATCATAAATATATTTTTCTTAGTTATAAATTATAACGTGTCACAGCCGATATCCAATTAAAGAAATTGATATAAAATGCGAGTAACATGAACAAATAAAAATGCATTTTACTTATTTTCTAAATAAGTATTTGTTCATACTCGTTATTTTCCTCGTATCTTTTAAAGAATTGGAAAACTATCTTGAGTCACGTTTGAATGTTATTTTAAATCAATATGCAGAGATCATACAAAAAAGCTAAAAACATTTGAAACAATCAAAAAAAAAGAAAAAAAGTTGTTGTAAAAAATGGAACCCAAAAAGTATGTCCAACTGAAAACAAAAACCAACATCTTAACAACTCATGCACTACGGAACCTATAAACTTATGATTCGTGAACTCATTTTTCGTAGTACACACAAGCGTAATTAAAAATATAAATCTCATTATATAATATGTACTTTGTGAACAAGAATATGATGATTTCAGGCGTATACGTAAATACATAGAGTTTTTTTTTTTTGTTTTAATGAGCTGATGTAACTGATCCATATGTATAATTATTATTCAATGTACCGAGGTGAAAAAAATGTAGTAGAGGAACTTACATAGTATAAAAACTGGAAACAATGTTTTCATAAATCATTCAACGGTAGTTTTCGTTACTTGTGTGACCACAAATTACAATTTAATTTCATTAAAGTTTATATTCTATACACAGCTTCAAAATGACAACAAAGGTGAGACATTTTTTTACATTTTTTTTTATGTCTTTTTCTTTTTTTTTCTTTGCCGACATTTTTCGTACTTCAAAATCAAATGTATTTTCCAAACTTCTCATTTAAATTTAACGGCACGTAACTATATTCGCACAATTTATAACGAATAGATTTATTATTAACATAATTATTAAAATTGTAAATTATAGGCTAAAGTTACAATATTGGTTCGGATAATTTACTTAAAGTAATATAAAAATAAATCTTCTCAATAATTTTTTTCGCAAAAACAAAAATTCTTATTTTTTATTTTTACACAAAACTGTTGATAGCTTTAGAATGGTACGTCAAATTAAAACAATTCTTAACTTATTAGTAGAACATTGCTATTTAAATAAATAGTTTGCATTCTAATTGTTCTAAGCAGAAAAACGGATATGAATATGACTGTTAGTTTATGAAATTAGACCGTAGATACAACTTTACGAATCGTTATTGCGAATAGTTATTCATCGAGTTGAAATATCACAAGCATTTGCACTCAAGTATTATTTAAGTAATCTCAAGTGGTAACTTGACTATTTTTTTTATTTTTAACCAGCAAATATATCACATATTTCTCAACGTTTATCTATAAATGTGCCATTTATGAACACCGATTTCTAGTGGCAGCTAAAGCGTAATGCTATGATTTTTTTCCCGCGAATTCGACCGACAGTAAATCGTTGAAAATATTAAGATTTCGTCAACAGCCGGATTAAGTGACGGCCGAACGAAAAACCGTTTCCCGATGTTCGTCTAAAGTAGGAGTGGTGAACCTATGGCACGTTGACTAAATTTTAATGGCACGCTCAAAAAATTGAAATTATTAAAAATTTTACAAAAAAAAAAAAAGAAAAGAAATTATACTATTTATAAAATGTTGGTTATCAACAATCCTTATGCTTTCATATTTTTTGTCAACTTATGTTTATAACCCAAAACGAATTAAATTAAATCGAAGGAAAGAAAGGTTTTGATCGATGAAACCATTATTTGTTGTGTTTCACTGAGAATGATTAAAATTTAATAGAAATAATGTAATAAATCTGTGATTTTATTTTTATTCTTAGAAAATATAATTTTCTTTGGGCGCACGTGTACGATTTACAAAACCATAGTTGAAAAATTTGGCACTTGAATCAAAAGAAGGTTCGCCACCTTTGGTCTAAAGCACATGCATTGTTTCGCTCATGATTCCATCTTGTCGGACTTGTTTCTTTGTTAAGAAATTTGATTCATTGCTGTATCAATCGTCTTCAGAACTGTCAACTGATCTAATTGATCTTTTTCGCCCAGAATCGTACATTGGTCTCAAGTTAACAAGATAAATACAGATAACATTCATCTGATCGAGTATCTTACATCCTAACCGATTAAGAAATTTCGCCCTTTTTATGTATACATCCCTACTAAAAGTATACCGAACACTAAAAATATATTAATAATTGTTTATGAAATATTATCAAACATTAATTATGATTATTACTCAATGAGGTATAGTCATATTTTCAATACAATTTTAACGCAACACGTTTTTCTTTCAGTTGATCGCATTCGCCGCGCTGGTCGCCGGTCACATGATGGTGTTCGCCTATCCGCCCGAGTACAGCAGCTACAACGCACACGACCAATACGCGCACGCGCCCGCCCCGTACAGCTTCGAGTACGGCGTGCACGACCCGCACACGCACGACGTGAAGAGCCAACACGAGTCGAGCGACGGACACGGCAACGTGAAGGGATCGTACAGCCTGTTGGAAGCCGACGGGTCTACCCGCGTGGTCGAGTACACCGCGGACGACGTGCACGGGTTCAACGCGGTCGTCAAGAAAGTCGGTTCGCCCAACTACCACGGTCAGCCATCGTCCGCCGACTACTATCACGGTCACCAGAACGTCTACCCGTCCGGCTACCACCACTACTAGACCCGTTGGAAACGCGTGGGACAGCTTTCGTTTTGTTTATTTTTTGTAAATCGGAGAAAAAAGAAAATAGTAAAAAAATATGTGCGTCGTATGTTTTCACAACAATACGAGGGCGATGTACCGCGGGAAAAATCTCTATTGTTGCAAAACCATATCGTTTACTTGTTTGTTGAATAAAACATTTTTTTCATTCTATACCGTCTTCGTTCGTTCTAGCCTTTCGATTCAAATACTGTTCCTTGAACACGTATTACAATAACATAATTAATACTTTATCGCGGCCTTTTCAGTGCCGATTAACAATTGAGTTTTATAGTAAACAAGTGGATTAAGAATGTATACGCAAACCATGCCCTCGGAAAGATTTAACTCTCCAAAAAAAATTTTAGAGGTATTGTATGGTTTTGACGTATGTAAATAAAACCTTTAAGTTAAATGTCTTTGTAGCCATCAAAATTATTTTAAAAATTATGGGGTTAAAATACCGAATGAAAAAAAAAAACCATTGGTAATCTATTTTAATAAAATGGATTGAGTTGTATATAACTTTTATTCCCTCATAATCCATTAAGAAATAATTGCCAATTCAAATGTTAAAATAATATAAAATAGCATGTTGTATAATCATTAATGTCTTTGATATCCATGCCATACGAAATAAATAAAATAAATTAATGTCTGGAAATTATTTCTAAGAAAACTTATATTAAAATTTTTTTTTCAATATCCTAGTATTGAAATGCTTACGGTATAAATATTTAGCTAGTAGTTATTACATGATAAATCTGAAAACTTTTATAAAATTATTTGACCTCAAAAATATTCAGATGATTTTTATAACACAATCCACCAATTATTTATGTGCATTATTTATTTATAAACCGATTAAAGATATCAAAGATGTACATATATTCGTTTAAGTAAAAAAATTTAACTATAATAATCAGATAATAAAGTTGGAACGTTGGCCACAAAATTTGTGTAACGACAAAAATAACAACAGTTAAGTTATTAATAATAATACTAATAATAATAATCAAAACTGTGAACTTGTATATTTTGTATATTTGATGTAAATACTTATCTTTGATTATTTTTATATACTTGCACTTTTTAAACATAATATACTAAACATTTTCAATTTTTAACTGGTTTGATGGTAACCGGTAACTCCCTTTAAAAAATCATTAACTGTATATGTAACATGAATTCTGAAATATTTTAATAATTTAAATAAAATTATTCTAACCATAGCCAATTCGTGTTACGAGTTCGTTAGATTTCATAAAAATTAATATACCTCATTTATTTTTTACACTTTTGTATTTTAGTGTATTTAATTTATATATAAATATATTTATAAAAAAAAAAGTTTATATACAGATATAAATAAATACTTAACCTGGAGTGTATTATCGTAATTGTAATGTTCTACCGGTTTTTAATCAAAAATTTATCGTCAGATATATAAAACGTCAATAAAATCGTGACTATTTGATTATTTATTGATACATTAATTTACGAGTGTTAACCATTTAATAATTTTTAATTTAATTTTATTATTATTTTATTAAAAATTAATTGTTTCACATAGAGATAATTTATTTTAATAGGAGAGATTATTCAAAATGAGTTCATAGATATGTTAAGAAATTTAAATACTTGGTTATAATTTATAATTATCTAAAATATATTGATATAAGATATTATTTTTAAAATCGGTTTGTATTCTGAACATGTCTACATCTAATAAGAGTTAATTTTAAATAATATCTCTTATTAAAATAAATATTCTTTATGTAAAACGATAATTTTTTCTCAATATATTCTTTCTTTTATTTTTTCATATCCAGTTTCGATTTTATTAACTTTGTATACTTGATGATAAATGTTAAATTCGAAACTGGTCGTATTTTAAAAATATAATAATACTAAGCATTTATTTATTTATTTATTTATTTATATTTATAAACTATTTATTTATATATTAATTTACGAATAACAAACATATACTGATTTTTATTTAATTTTTTATCATTAATCATTTAATTTAAATGTTTTAACTATGATAATATTTATATTAAACTATTTAAATTATTTTATTAGGTCAATTACTGATTCAATATTTTCATATTTTTTAGTATTACAATTCCACATCCCTGGTCATACCTATAATAATAATTAATGGTCGTAAATAAATTATGTGAACACACAAAAATAATTATGATTTCAATTAAGAATTAATTACAGCACAACAATTAAATGGATAGTCGTTAGCCAATTTCATGAGTTAATTATGTAGGGCAATATTATACATAAAATATTATAAAAACAATGGTTGAATGAAACCAGTTGAAACTTTGAAGTAATTGTTATGAAATACTGAGTCAGTCATATGTTTCTCTAGTCGTCAATAAATATATTCTTAAACATATGATGCAGTGGCGTATATAGGAATTATTTTCACTATGGGCCAATTACCTCCAGCATAGCTACAACTAGAAATTTTTTAGTTAACGGATAGTTTTAGTTATGACACAAATGATACAAATATAGAAATTTAAATGTATTAATAGATATATTAATTATTAAATAAAATACATAATAATAAATCAAGCATTTTTCTATAGTAAGCAGACTTAAAATGTTTTTGATTTAATATCATGTAAAATTCATTTTTCTGTTTTTTTTTTAATAAAAATATTAACAATTTCTTCAACATTTAGAGGTATGTTACAATGAATCGTTATCGATGTAAGGCCCGACATGATGTAAATACATAGCATTATTTATCGTGTCCTTTCATAGTTTATTCGTATTTTGATTGGTCATTGCAATCATGGAACATGGTATTAATCAGTAACGTGAATTTTATACCTTAGAACAACATACTATCATAGAACACAACAACAACAATAATAGTAGTTATGATCCATGGCATCACATAAATATATAATTATATAATTTAGCAATATGTATAAAATGTTTTAATTGAATCTGAAATTTCACTATGGACCCGGGTTTAGAGCCCCCCCCCCTCTATATAAGCCACTGATATGATGGATATATGAGTTAAATGCGAACAATTTTGTTTTTCTGTAATACCTTCGAGTTAAACCACTTTAATGACATTGATCGCAACACTCAATATGATTATTCATGTAAGTGGTATATGCATATAGTATACATAGGGATGGCTGATCAGTTAACATAAAAATAAAAAAAACCCATATAATCACAAAATGAATATTAGAAGAAAAAATATATTTAGAGCAATAAATCACGTTTAATGATAGTTTAGTTCCCTATGGAAACAGCGTATGGAATACCTCTAAGTATTTTTCATTACATAACATTTTCCATAATTAGGATTGGAAATGATGCTTACATACATAACTTTACGTTTGGTTAACCGATAACAACCAGTTAAAGACCTGGAATATTAGTTTCTCAGTTTTCATTGGTGTTTCGTAACAATTTATCAGTTCTTATTACGAAAATAACTGGGCTCGGATAACCGAAGGTTCAGATCATCGTATACGTAGACACAGATAATATAACTATTTTTTTCTGATAACCGAGAACGCCATACGAAGAGTGAGAATGAATAATGTTTTTCCAACTATTCACGAACAATATATTATAAAGCTAAATATATCGCAATAGCATTAAATCAATAATGATAAATTTTGCCCCTCGAATGCAAACGGGTTATTCACGAATAACGCAAAACTGTTCCAGTAATAATCTGGCGCATGGTATGCGTATGAGAACAAGGTTCATAATTATTAGGACTGGAATTGCGATGCGTTTTGAATCGTTTTCCAAAACTATTCGTTCGATGCTAGTATTTTGGAAATTTCGTCACGTATACTTTTGAAAATAATTATGAAATAGCACTTTATGCAATTTAAAATTTTGATTTTAAAATTACGTTTTTTTGTATTTTTACTCATTTTAGAGTTATATTCAGGGCATATTTCGAGATTTTGGATAAAAAATTCAATTTTAAAATGTAATTTTAGTATATTTTCACTCTTAGGTAAGCATATAACAAATTATCGAGTACTTTTTTTTTTTTTTTTTAATTAAATAACTATAGTTATATTAGAACCAAACAAATCTTTTGTTTTAATCAATTTCATAGAACATTATTTTTACCAAAATTATTGAAAAATAAAAAATATTTAGTACATTATTTAAACATTATTTCGAATTATGGAATAAAATAATTTATTTAAATAGTAAAGTTCTTTAAGTTGTTAAATAAGTTTCATACCTAATTTATTTAATGATAAAAAAAGTGAAGTTGGGTTGTGTGATTTGGTTTAATTTATATTGAATTAATTTTCGAGAAAACCGGAAAGGAGGATATGAGAAAAAGTTTACTTTTAATTAGTGGCTATTTTTGCGTGCACTACGAAATTACAAATGTACAATACAAAAAATAAAAATGTGCATCACCTTTATGGTACTATCACATTCTGCAATCATACCTTGGATATATGGACTACATTTTTTTTGTAAAAATCAAAATAAGTTATGTTTATAACAAAAAAAAATTATCCTTTATTTAATTATTTAAAATAATTATTATAATTAAAATAATTATAAATGATGATTATTATTATAAATTAATAATAATTTATAATAATTATAATTATTATAATTATTTAAATTATCCTTTATTTAATTATCCATTTATCCTTTATCTCTTTAATAAATTCATTTTCATATTTTACTTTTAATAGTAACTAAGCTCAAACTTGAAAATGTGCACTACGAAAAATCAGAAAAAATAGCCACTGCTTTTAATTAGTAAATATATTTGTGTAATATTCTTGCTTAAAATCAAAATATTTATAAATTATTCTCATAACTGATTTTTTATTTTTTAACAACAGAAAAAAAAATTGAATATATAATAAACTGAATTTTGCATAGCGATATTATTTTTTATTTATCAGATTTATCTACACAATATCTATACACCATCAGAAAAATATTTACATCTTTTTTCCCATTCTTTGCATTTGGCATATCTGAATATGTAAGTAAGAGTACAAA